TTGATATACCTACAGGTCAGTACCATTTTATTCCTGAAATTGATTCCATGATGTCTTGATAGTTAAACACCTTATGATAAGCTTATACCTGAGAAACTTATTATTCACCATTATTGTGTGGTACAACTACTAAAGACAATTGAAAAAGATTTCTTGATATGGTTTCTCATCCTTTTTAGCCCAATCTGGTGCAGGCAGTAAGAAGTAAAACTCCATTTCATTTCTTGATATGGTTGCTTATCCCCTCCATTTGCCAACATCAGAGTTTCCCCCATGTAAAACATAACTTGCAACAAATGACAATTATAAGAATAGGACATATTGTTTTTTCAGGCATGGTCTGCTTCAATATGTTGAAACCATTAAATTTGAAACTTCTCTATTTGTAGGTTTAACACCCCAGAGAAGAGAGTTCAGTTATCCTAGGAATCTATCTAAAACAGATGGTCATGATGTGTTGCTACAGAAGATGTACGAGGGTGCTCCTGATCCATTAGCTATTAATCTGTCGAACTCTCTAGATTTAGAACTTGCAGAAACCATACCAGTACCGGTTATTAGAAAAGATTCCACTGAGGTTAGTAATATGTGAAACTTAAAATATACCAATCGTAAAGGGCTTTATATGATAATGCGGTCACCCGCAATATTTTGCAATTAGTGACATCATCAAACACTTACTTTCAGTGGAATTGCAGGAACCACAGACATCTGATTTAAAATAAGAATGGTGCAAATTGATGCTTTAGAAAACTTCTTTACAATCCCTTTTACCTGGTGTCAAAACTAGACAACATAATTCCTTAAAACTATGTATGTTAATATGACAAACTTCAAGGAGAATTAATTTGGGTCTATTTTGTTATAGAGTAAAGATATAGCTGATAATTTGAGTGATGCAGGTAGTGATACGTCTGTAAATAGTTCTACTTCTGGTATATCTTCTATTAGTAATATCAGTAGAACAAGCAAGGTTAGTAAATATTTCTGCCTCTGGTATATCTTCTATTAGTAATATCAATAGGACAAGCTGGGTTAGTAAATAGTTCTACTTCTGGTATATCTTCTATTAGTAATATCAGTAGAACAAGCAAGGTTAGTAAATGGTTCTACTTCTGGTATATCTTCTATTAGTAATATCAGTAGGACAAGCAAGGTTAGTAAATAGTTCTACTTCTGGTATATCTTCTATTAGTAATATTAATAGGACAAGCAAGGTTAGTAAATAGTTCTACTTCTGGTATATCTTCTATTAGTAGTATCAGTAGGACAAGCAAGGTTAGTAAATAGTTCTACTTCTGGTATATCTTCTATTAGTAGTATCAGTAGGATAAGCAAGGTTAGTAAATAGTTCTACTTCTGGTATATCTTCTATTAGTAGTATCAGTAGGATAAGCAAGGTTAGTAAATAGTTCTACTTCTGGTATATCTTCTATTAGTAGTATCAGTAGGATAAGCAAGGTTAGTAAAGGGATATTTGTTAGAATTGTTTTTTTTTAGAATTATGAATATTATTTATAGAGAATTCTTCTGAAGAACAGAATTTTTAAGTTGTAATTTTGATATAGTATTGTATTCCTAATTTTAATACATCTTCACAAGGCTGTTACGAACTTTGTATCATACCTTGACTGCAATAGCCACTATTCCTGTATCACAGAATGAGGCTATTTAATTGTATTGTATGCCAATGAATACAGCCAATCAGAGCCCAAGACTAAAAGACTGAATATTATGGCTAATTGTTTACAGACTTTCTATAGAGAGCTCTGATTGGCTGGATTCACTAGTGAACAATCCAATCAACTTGCTGCATTGTCAAACTGAGATACAAGAATAGTGGCCATTACAGTCAAGGCATGAGACAAAGTTCGTAATAGCCTTGTGAAGATGTATTAAAATTAGAAATACAAATCTTAATCTTGCGATAAGCCGTCTTTAACAACTTTATAAAGCATTTGTGTTCTTAAATTTTGAAGGAATTGATAATGAATAAGTAATGGGAATTTAGAAGAAAGTGATAATTTTGAATTTCTGCATCAACTTGACTGAAGTCTTATTGATATACACATACATACCCAGTTTCATCAAGATTGATTAAAAACTGTATAATATCTACAAAATATATAGGCATATAAGAATTTATCTAAAATTTGGCAATGTTCCAATATTAGTTTCATAATGAGTAAGCCTGTAAAATAGATTTATTAGGAGAATAAGATCTATAAATATTTAAGTATTGGACCTCACAGTGCCCATCAAATTATGATTTGATTTATGGCTTATGATTTATGGCTGGCCATTTTGGGTGGTTGATTTGGGTCTTGAATAAATGTAAATAGAATTACTAGAACTCCACGAACATCGCATAATTCCTTCAAATATACGTCAAACTAGAAATTCCAACTACCATTTCTGTATAAGCTTTTGGCAAAATCTTAAGAAAGACATGTCTTTTTAACATTCAATATTTCAAACGCAGATAATTCTGGACACATGGATTTGAAGGCTCAAATATCGATGGTTAGCTGTGAACACTATTACTGGCTTTCACATGACTTATCATGTTGTAATCAAATCTGGCCCTACTTCATTATTTATATACCTAAGTATAAAAAACTTTTATGGAAATACAATCCAAATGACACAGAAAAGAATTTGGGGATTAAATAAGCTGAATGTTTTAATTATCAAATAAAATTGAAATGTGTATATAAAATAAAGTATGCAAAAACATACAATAAATAAAGGATCTTAAAAGAGTGCTTATGTAATGGGTTGCCAGAGTAAATATTTCCCTAGCCAAATATTTAATCTGGCAACGCATTTCATAAATTTCATATTACACAAGCACTTTTTTAAGATCCTTTATTTATTGTATATTTTTACGTAATCTATTCTATATACATGTATTCAAGTACTTTTAATGCATTAAGTCCTATATTGTATGGCATGTTGTAACATATATGTGAAGGGATAAACTTTGTATAATATTAATAATGATAATTTTAATGCTGTTGATATTTTCCATCCAACTTTGCCTTGTATGCTATCCTCACCTAGATTAATGGCCATTTAATGGTAGGTAAAATTAAAGTACTTTTGTTTGGATATTTCAGAAATCTGAATGTAAAGAAAATAGAAATGGTGGTATGAAACCGCCATCAAAAATGGTGAAGAAATCAGTTCGAGCCAATAAAACACCAACTAAAACAACTACACCTAAAACTAAATTACCATTACGAAGCAATAACACTCCCGCTTAATGTCCATTCATTACTAACAACTAACATACAATACAGTACTATTGTTAATGTTACCCACCTATATTGTAGTACTTTTCAGTCAAGATGCGTAATAATAATTTTGGTTACTACGAATTTGATTTACATGGTTGGTTTATTGAAGGGATTGTAAAGAGCAATAACACACCTACTTACTTCATGTTAATCAATTGTTAAATATTCATTCATTATAAACAACAAGCAAACAATACTTTACCCATCTGTATTTATATGCGTTTTAAGTCCAACTTTTCAGTCCATATGTCAGTGGCATATTAATGCAGTGCTTTTTGGGATCCCCTATCTCACCATATTGGATCATAAAATATACAAAACTTATTCTACTATCACTTTCAAAATCGCATAAGATTCCCGTTTTAACACATTTGAACATTTTCCAGGGAGAGGCCACTACACCATGACTAATGCCCTCTTTAATCAAAATGGGGATTCTGAAGGTTTCTTGACACAATACAATGTACCTACTCTACCCTACAGCCCTTTTTTTTAACTTCCTTGCTTTTAAGTTGAGAATACTTCAAACTTGTTTTATTGTATAATAATTCTGTATATTTATCATGATTGTAATTTAAATCCTAAAGTTTAGCATCTTATTTATCTGTATATTATTAATTACATTTTAGGAATTCATATTGAAATACCTTCATAGATAAAGTTAGTTTTAAAAGTGTCATTTACATGATTGTCATATTTTATCTTAGTCAGATATTTGATAGGGATAAAATTTAAAGCAATTTGCTTGGCCAATGCTTTGGTATATTTATTGACATTGAAATATCCTACTACTAAATTCAAATTTTTGTTTTAGATTTAAAGATATAGATATTTGCAGCACAATTCTGTGGATTAAGTATAAAAACATTACAATAAATACTATAGTTAATATTCCAAGTCCGATAGTTTTTACTCATATTTCTAGAACACTTAGAATTTTTTGAATCTGGATCAATCCAAGAATGTTTATTTGTCTGTCAGTTGGATCACATTTCCTCATACATTTTCTAGAATCTCCAGTTTGTAACTTGTTTTCATGAAACTGGTGTCTAAACATAGGCATAAAATCAAGTTCTATTTGTTGATCAATTTCCTGCCAGCATTACCACAATGTCTATATCGTATCACGAATACGGGTTTTGACATGGTATTATGAACGAAGTATGGCGAATATGGTTATAGTTTGGACACGATGAGTCTTGTCAAAAGTTTCACCGAGTGACGAGGAGACAAATAATAATCTCAAGTCGGTCGGTCGATAGGCCTAATGGAAAATGAGTGTCTTCAAGGAAGTATGATGAATGGCGGCGTGGTTTGTACACAATTGCTTTCGTCCAATTGGTTATTGGTTGGGAATTTCCCTAATAATCTTTATATTTAAGACCTGCGCGAATAGTTAGCCACATATTAAGACTGCACAACCATGAATAATCTCAACTGAACTTGTATAAATTAAATAAATTTGTGATACGGTGGCGTGTTTGAATTGCAGTACAATATAACAATGGGTCTACATTATGTGATATTAGGCCTATATTCAGATAGGCCGTTACACTATGGTGTTTAAATTTTTGAAATGTAACGTACATTATGTTAAGCCCTCGAAAACTGTCGTTACTAGAGGATACGTGTCATATTAAGATATATTCTGTTGTAATGGATGACGGACATAAAAGTAGGTTAAATTATAAACATTGTGGAATGACTACACAGCTCGAGAGACTTCAAACATTTACAACATGGCCGCTAGGTTATCCTGACCCTTTTATACTCAGTAAACTTGGATTTTATTATACGGGGAAAGCAGACCAGGTTCAGTGTTGCGAATGCTCTCAAACAATTGAAAATTGGCACAGTAAATCCAATCCTTTAGTTGAACATTATAAAGTAAATAATGGATGTGTATTTGTTCAAAACTACAAGGAAATTTTATTAACGTTTACAATAAAAGCTGATATCATGTGTCAAAGTAGTGTGAAAATAATATACGCCAGTGTTGAAAATAGGATGTTGTCTTTCGACAAGGTGTCCTTACCGAGTTTTCTCACAATTGAGTCTTTAGCTCATGCAGGGTTTTATTATGTTGGACCCGGCGATAGGGTAAAATGTCATAGTTGTGCGGTTATTTTAGTCGAATGGGAATCTATAGATATCCCCATAGCAGAACATTATCGTTGGTCTTCAAACTGTGACTATATCAAACAATGTCTTCCGAAATTAACTAATGACGTGGACTCCATATTGAAATTGGAATTAAGCCAACAATGTGTTTCACCAGAACTTACTAAGGAAAGTGAAACGCATAATTTTAGCTTGACTAACCATGAATCATTAAATTTTCCCAAATCAAGTAAGTTTATTGCAAAGACTAGAGACAACTCGGTTCTCGACATGCCATGTAATTTAGGCATGATGAAAGAGTGCGCCAGTGTGCCCAGGTATCGCTCCTTTCAAGAAGAACCCCTGAAATTCCCTACTCAGGAAGGAGAGAGCGCCATTATTTACGACGAAACAGGAAATGACGAAGACGAATATATTACAATATCTACAAAAGAAAATCCGTCTAACGTTGCGGAAGAATTAGGTAATGATGAGGACGCATTGACCAAAATATTAGCAAGTGAAAAGGTCGAAGCTGCTAAAGAAATTTTTGACTTTCCGTCGTATGTTATAGAAGAATTTATCAGACGATTCTATAAACAACATCATAAAGATTTTGACTCTGCAGCACATCTTTGCTCCGCTCTTTTGGAAGAGCAGGAACAAAACCAAAAAGGAAAGGAAATATGCGACTCCAATGCCCCAGCCAAGACAGAACCTATACCAAAAATTCCAAATGAACCGAATACTCAAAATCCCCTCGACACTGTTACTAATAAGCCTACCGAATCAAAAGAAAATATGCCAAATCATAAAACCACGGAAATGGCGGAAGAGAGATTTGTTTCTTCCTTTGATTCCAAATTGTCATTAAATTCGGAAGCTTATGTTCCATGTAAAATTTGTATGGATAATGAGGTACAAGTTACATTTATTCCTTGTAGACATTTAGTAACGTGTGAAGAATGTTCTAATCTAGTCACAGAATGTCCAATCTGCAGAAAACATATTCGAGAAAGAATGAAAATATATTTATCATGAATAGTAATTCCACGTATATAATTCTTGTTTTTTGCATTAGCGACCTCATTTCTATAAGAGAGATAGGCTGATGTAAACTACCATATATTGATTTACCTACTGTAGGCACGTTTTCGCGGTGTGATTTATTTTTTCCTTTCATATGATTCGACTCAGTCGTTTTATTTTTTATAGCATAAGTTTGAAGGATAGTTTAGTTATCTAAATAGGCTATGCTCAAAGTATTACGTGATCATAAAGATATTATGTCCGGTTATAATCAATTCGATATATGTGTTGTATTATTTTACCTATAATCAGCATTTATTTTGTGTCCACGTTATCAATCATGCCAGAAAGCCACCAACAACTGCATGACATGACCAGATAGATATGTCTTAAATCAGTTCTGCAATAGGAATGTACAAATTGGATGTCGATGTCGGATAGATTTGGTTGTCGGCCGTGAAACCCATTGGACGAATGTCGACTAGATTTTTATGTGAGCGAGTCTGTACTCAATTAAACAAGACACGACAAAGAAAATATTATTGCATTATGTCTGTGATACAACGCACATTACCCACACCTTGTTTGTATAACTGATATATCATGACCAATTTTCTGTAGTCCAATATAAATAAAAAAAATTGCTATGCTTACGTCATTTCAAAGAAGTTTTTATTTTACCATAAGATGAGCACTTTACTAATGAGGTTTGTAATGTCTGCATAGACCCACACGGTGTTCAGTCTCCATCGTCGTCTCGGAAAATTTTCATAGCATGGATCAAGTATATTTGTTTTGCAATTGAAAACAAATCCAATGAAAACGAAAAAAACAATATCCATTTGTTGACTTTTTACAAACCTAGGCCTATATGAAGCGTAGGCCTAGAATATAAGTTAAAATATTGTTCTTATAATGATGAATGATATTTCACATAGAGACCGGTATCATAGGCTTAATGTTTGTTAAAAACCTATGATCTCTTTGATATTTCACACGTCGTGTGAAATGGGGTACGTCGCGAAATCGCTGTCTATTGTCAAGGCCAATGAGATAGATCCTGGAAGAGAGCTCGTTAATGATTATAATAGCCTAATCATTTATTTTTTCATTATTTTACTCTTTCCAATGTCGATATCTTCCCAATAACAGACATGATAGAAATCTGAACATTGGATTGTCGATCGTAAACCACCGACGATCTTTGAAGAACATATGCGCCATTTTTCAAGATTAAAACCAACCTCCCAAAATGGAGCAACTGTCCCTTAAATTTCGTCAGTAGGTGTTTGAAATAGTTGGTTAGGAAATGTTACAGTTTCGCATCAACCCCCCTTCTCGATCAGCGTGAATCTTGATAGAAAGGCACGCGCACTTGACGCACAAATTTTCTGGCGTAATTAAATCGCAAATTCTTAGATTTAACAGAATATGCACTAGAAAGACGGGCATGTGAACTGAGAGAAAGTTGTTATTCAAAACGTTTTATTCAAAAAAAAAAATTCTCACATTTCCTTCCATTTTTAAATCAATTTACAACGTTTTCAGGTGGGATTTTCTGCTAATGGCGAAATGGAAGTGGACATAACCCACCGTGTAGTCGTTCCCGCGTTATAAGAACTCTTGGCCCAGTTTCTCAAAAAAGGGATTTGTCGTTGAATTTACAATTTGAGAAATACCATACAGACGAAAAAATTTATCGTAAGATTTTTGTGGAACCCAGTTCACCAAAACATGTTCTTTGCTAATGAATGTAAGCCCATAGGCCTAATGTGGTCCGTGTTCTTTCTCCCTTCCTTTCTTATGGGGTTTTTATATGACTTTTTTAGGTCTAGATTTGGAATTTGATGTCTGAAATTGCATTTTTCTTTCAGATTTGATGAGATAATGAGAGATTTACATGCGAAAGGATAATGCTATATTGTGAACAGTGACAGTCAAGCGGATTGTGATAAAATATAGTGGTCTACTTTCAATTTGACCAACTCAAGAATGTCATGGTCATTGGCTAATATATTGAATTTTTGTCCAGAAAGTAAGTATTGGTCAGCCTTTTATGTGACATATTAGAAATATTTCATCAAGATTTCTGGAAAAAGTTACAGAGGGTTGAATTTCGTGATTTAACATGGAAGAGATGGCAAATTACCGGAGTCCATCAAATCGTTAATTCGCAAGTCATTTCACATAAATATGAAAAAAAACTTCGTACAAGTTAGTTAATAGAGTTAAAGTTGTATTGTAGTGGACTTCTCCAAAGAGAAGTACCATCAGGTGTTTTGAAAAGAGTAAGCATGGTCTGCTTCGCGCCAGGCCCGTAGCCTGACCAGTACTCCTGGGGGGGCAAACGTGCAATCGAGGGGGGCAATTTAGCAAAGCACCTTGACAGACGATTAAACGTCGGGAAACGGACTTTCATGGAGTATTTTAGATTCGAGATTATTTTTGTTAAAACACACAAGTTATAATACGTTACATTTTTATTGCCGTTTTAGTTTAAACGTAGTCGGGTATGTTTTATGGCAAAACGTTGAACAAATACGTCCAAGTTAATTTTCTGGGTCTTCCTGTTGAAGGCAAGAAGAACAAGATTGCGCTGGCGAAGCTGAGTCATAGATCGTCGTTGTGGTGAGTCAACACGAGTAAGAGTTGAAAAGCTGCTTTCACACACAGCGGTACTAGAACCGAATGTGGCAACGCTTGCAGCCAGTGCATATAATTTAGGGAAAGCCAATTTCTGCTCGTATAGTTTTTGAAGAACAAGACTGGAGTCCTGCTTTTCTGTCTTGGCAACGTTATCTTGGAGAAATTGTTTTGACACCTCAATTGTTATGCTTCTCGAGGCCCTTTCCAGTATCACCTACAGCATGCTTCCAATCTGTGTAGCCTTCAGTGATGAATTTTTATGCACCCGCAAATGTATTGTGAAACACCCGACATGGAAATCAAAAAGGGGCGTCCCTTGACATTGAATACTCCAGCCATTGAAATCGATCGAATACCAGCTGTTACTAAAATGGAGCCCAGACTTCGCTGGAAATTTTATTCTCGGTTGCTTTGGAACGTCTTCTTTTCCAATGTCACCTGGTACTCCTGTCTTTTCAGAGCATCTTGGTACTGCATCCGCTGTGTTGCCCGCTGTGGTTTTGATACCAGTGTCAGTCGTAGTAGTGTCGGAACCATCAAGCAATTTGTCTTTTTTGATCAAATATTTATCCATTTTTCCTACGTTTAGTTGTTTGATTCATATGAATACAATTTAGGATAATATATGTCTATTAGTTAGTATTTATAATCAACCAATCAAATGTTTTGAATTTTGAGACGGGACAGATTACAATCCAGTATCAGACCAATAATTTTTTTACCAATGACGCTTTACTGCAGAATTTTTATGATTTTCAACGAACTCAATTGTATCAAATTATCTATTCTAATGTAATTAAATTTAAAAAGCTATGATGTCTGGTTTCATAATCAGCTAAGTATAAACAGAAAGATAATTAAAAACAGTTCTAGGCCTACGGATAGGAATACTTAGTATTTTGTTGAACCATTTCGCATAACGCAGCTCTGAAAACCATAACCTTATTTTTCGTTAGGTATAATCAAAATATAGCAGCTGACTGGTTCAATTACTCCACCATAAAATGCCTGACCAGAATGACCACTGTTTGCTATTCACTCAGACTCAGTTACCTGCCGCTCCTATTGATTCAGGAAAAAGAAAAGGTTTATTTTAAAAAAAAGTGACCGGTACATTTTTCTAGGGGGGGCAAGATTTGATTAAGGGCAAAGCCAGCGTCAGCGTCAAGAAAACGTTTTATTAAATTCGCCAACATAAAATCTCAAATGAACCGTCGGAGTAGTCGAAGGATTAAAGACACTGAGTAACATTGCTTAAGCAATTTCAAAGTCAACACTCAACCCCTGAGGTTGGATATAACACATTTAGAAATGTTAAAAAGCTATAAATAGGCCTATCCTGCTTCACCTTTTGTTCTTCTAAGAACTCCTTGCATCAATAAATTACGTACCGGTACATTGAATTTACGCATTTAAGATACTATGACACACCCTTTTTATACTTTCCAGAAATATTTTCATTTGGCCTATCTATTGATTTGAGAAGATAATTTTCATAAAAATATTCATAGGTTGAGAAATGTAATTTTACAATAATAAAGGTATTTTTTGCCTATCCTAAAACCCGCCCTTCTATCTATATTTATTATGAGATAATATATCGGTTCATAAATGCAATATGAAATTCCCCTTAAAAGTAGACTGTGAAGAGACACCATGTGAACTAGGCTACTTCTATACAAGGAAATATGTATGGTTGTCAATAAACATGTCAGACACCTTTTACTGCTACAAAACTAGTGAAATACAGGTTCTGAAGTTGTTCATGTACTGAATATGGTCATGAGATAGAAATACCTGTCTTTATAATTCAAGATAAATGTGTAAATGTTTGTTATCACCCAAGGATGAACCCTATCAAAAATCAGAAAAATTGAAAAATATTTAGTATGCGTTATTGCCCTTGTTCTTAAAAACGTTTTAGCTCGTAAACACTCCAGAAGGCACAATTCTTGACAAATTTAGAAGAAACTTTTGTGAGTGTTAGTAATCACACACGAATGAACCCTATTGAAAATCAGAAAAATCGAAAAATAATTAGTAAGAGTTACTGCCATTGCCATTTAAAGAAAATAAAGATAGCTTGCCAGGTAAGGTAACATACGCCCACTACAAGCTGTCAGAGATAAGAACAGTCTTTAGTGACTTAAATATGAATTTTATTATTCGAGATCTTCATAATAGGCTACATAGTATTTATTATATTTTTCTATTTTTTTTTAAATCAATGACAATAACCCAAAAGCCTTAAATTGAAAAATCATTGCATAAGAACTTCACTAACTTCTCATCAATTTAGATAGTCACACCAAATTTCATCATAATCGGATGAAGATAATAGGGCAATAACCCAAAAAACGTTCATCGAATAATCGTCAAATATGAATCAGTCCAACATCTTATCATTGTGATCACACCAAGAAATGCCGACGGACCGACGGACAGGGACAACGGCAATATACGTCCACATTTCCATGTGAGCGTATGAAAATTAATTTTATTATGTTGAATGATATGTAACAACCAAACCAACAACAGAGGATCATCCAATTTGAACCAATCCAACTACCAACTACTACGACTACCAACAACTACCTAATTTGCGATATCAGCATCCGCTGGAAGCAAACGTTAACTTGTGATCTACCTACCTACCTGATATGTGCAGCTTTGATCTTGATCATTAAAATTATCGTATTATATTAGATAGGTAGGTTAAATAACTATCTATTAATAGTAACCTTATTTAACAACCTCTTTACTTATTTTGAATATCAAAGGACGTCTACTCTAAGTTCGCCCCGCCCTGGTGATAATAAGATGACAACATGCCCCAAAGAAATAGTTAAAACTTACGACACACACTCCAAATATTAGATGAAAAGAATTTCAGTGGGTCCTCAAATTAGCTACGAACATGATTGGATGTTGGTGTACATTACATGACTAACGAGGACAGATAAAAACAGATACTTCCCCCAGCCACTCTATAGTATTAAGTTTTGATCGCAAAAATCTGTCAAATACCAAAATATGTGTTAGCACACATGGCGTCATAATGACATCACAGAAATGTACCTATGCCATGGAAGATCACCATTGCATACATTGCTATGCATTGAACAATATCTGTTTTATCTCTAAAACCTTGTCTTCGGAAATCGAAAAAGAGTAAGCCCGTTTTCATTAGCCCACATGGTGTAGAAAATTAGGACGTAAAACTCCATTAATTTCATTTTATACATTGTCTTAACAAGACGCCAACAGATTTTTAAAGTACTGCAACTACAATATGACGTCATGACGTCATCAATAACGCCTAAAATGATAGAAATTTGAAGAAAAGACATTTGTTTGTATGCAAGTATGCAAAATTTCATTCAAATATATCATGAAAAATATATTTTACCTGCTTTTGAATACTTTTGTGGCATTTTCCCACTCTGCATAAAAATCGCTATTAGTTTGGCCAGTAAAAGCGACATGCGATTGCTGACTTCTCGAACACGAAGTCTGTGATGATGGTAGTGTCATACGATTCTCCGATTAGAAGTAACGAATCCTTCGCCATCTTGATATGATCTATTTTGCAAAACACAAAATGAGGCCTCTTTATATTATATATAAAATAACTCTATGATTCATAAAATACTTGATTCAAAAAACATCTCGATTTTTGTTTTGCGATTTTTACTTCCAGCCATTTGGAAATCGTCTTTTCACTACCGAACATAAACGTACTTTATCAACAATTTTCACCTAAGGATGTCCCTATTGAAAATCAGAAAAATTGATTTTTAGCATGTAAACACTGTTTAATTATTGACAGATTTTGACAAAACTAGAGGGAAATATTTGTTATCACCCAAGGAAGAACCCTATAAAAATGCTTAGTATGAGTTATTGCCCTTGTTCTTGAAAACGCGTTCAATTTTAGCTTGTAAACAGCAGATTCAATTATTGACAGATATTTGTTGAAACTTGGTTTGAATGTCACCCAAGGGTGAACCCTATGTAAAATCAGAAAAATATTTAGTATTAGCATAGAACTATAACATATATTACAGTTCTGTGGTATGGGTTATTGCCTAGTTCCTGAAAACGTATTCAAGTTGTAGCTCGTCAACACTCTACAAGACACAATTGTTAACAGATTTTGACAAAACTTGGTAATATTATTCAGTATCGCCCCAAGAAGTTAAAAATAAGTATGACTGAAGGTTGAATATTATTTTCATACCAATGATAAATAGATAAATAAGACAATTTCAAATTTATTAGTTTAACAAAGGATATGTCCCCCTGGATTATTTTGTGGCCCGTGCTCGACCCCCTCACATAATACTTTCCAGAGAAATCACTGATTTGATCATCAAAATTCATATTAATAAAAAACAAAGACCAACAGCTTCAGTTTTACTCTTTCTTGATATTTTAACAAGTATTTAACTTCATTTGAACTACTCTAATTATGTAACAACTACAATATTATTATATAAGAATACTACAATAAATGCTGCCTTTATAAAAGCTTACAGTGGAGGGTCGTTCCATCATTTTTACAAATATACAAACTGTTTTAAATAACAAATACATTATACAAAGACAAAAAATAACCCAGCTGGCAATGCTTATCTGGCCCAAGTCTGGCTGATTTGTGGCTACACCTGGCTAGATGACTATTGGGAGTTGGGAATTTCTCTTGAATTGCAATGCCAAACCGAATTTCATCACTTCATAACAAACAAAATGGCTCAACAACATCTGATTTTTCATAATAAATGAAAGTTGTCCAAAGAATCGCAATTCCAAACAAAATTCAATGGATTCATAACAAACAAAATTTACTCCAGAAATGAAATGCCAAAACAATTTCTATAGATCCACAAAAATTCTCTCAAGAGTTGCAATGCCATACCAGTTTTTATGGCTTTACCAATTTCTGTGTTCCTATGGCTTCATAACAAAACAAAATGAAGAGTCAAACAGTTTCCGTAAAACTAATTCTGCAGAACACTAACTCAAACAGTAGGCCGTTTGGATATAAATATATAGAAAATGGCTTGAAAAAAACTTTAAATAACAAATTTCATTTACAATTTTACAAAGTTAGTTTTCCTTTCTCACTCACAAGAATCTTGAAAAGGAATTCCAAAGTGGTTTGATAAAAAATCTTTGGAACATACCCCAGACAATTTTTAAAAGCAAGTGTATTAAAACAATTTTCTAACATAATTTCATCATTATGTAAAATAAATTAGGAGTTAAAACTAAACTAACAATACTAATGAATATATTAATGATAAAAATAATGTGTAAGTAAAATAGCACCAATTGACCCAAAAAAAGGTTTAAAAGATCTAATGCCTACATATTGTCACCGTACTTCATAATATTGATGGAGGTAGAATTTCAGCCGCCCAGCACAATACGCCATACTTGTTTCAAAATTTCCATGAGTGAATAAGCTTATTTCTTGTATTTATTTTTTCAATAATCACGGAAAGACCTCAAAACATTTTAATGCCATACTGCTTATTTCATAATTCAATATCATGTTATACTTTTTGACTACTATATCCCAAACGTTTGTTTATATTATTTTATTTTTAATGTAGCCACTTCAGATATAAATACTACCATGCATAATGCTAGCACTGTAGAGGCTAGAAGTTTGATTGGTTTAATTAATTAATTTGACGATGGTTCAAGAGGGCTGTCGTTAGACCCTAATTGAAGTGACTACATTAAAAATAAAAGCTAATTACAGAACAAATGTTTGATATTATATCCCTTTTATAGCAAGATAGAAAGTGAGAAGTGAGAACTGAAGAATGACAGATTAAGAGATAATAGAAAGGTAAAAGATATGCATACTAAACAGAGATCAAAAAAGATCAAAAAAGACCCTCTAAATCCTTAACATTACCAGCTAATAAAGCTCAATTTTAGCCATCTGTGTCACTTTTCACAATTAAATTCTGATATCAGTAATAACTGCAACTGAAAATGTTAGTAACATTCTGGTATTGATGACTGTGTAAACTTCCACCGTACATTTTTTTTGCTTGCACATTACCAAATGCTAGATTTTAATTTTGAAAAGTAATACAGATAAGTGAAATTGAGCACTAATAGTAGGGGGTAAAGCCATAGACAGAGGATCTATCTCCATGGACAGTGTCTCTTGAATTAAAACAACAATTTACAAAATGGTACATCCTGCTTGTACATTAGAATGAGATATATCTAAGTCAGAATCATAATCATATAAATATGGTTCAGGTTCCGTTGGTTTTTGGGATAATGAAATATGGGAATAATCAAAATCATCATCATCATCATCATTACCATCAACAAAGTCTGTGTAAACTTGATTTTTCACCACTTCACTTATTATCAGTGGACTTTTGGAAGCCACTGGTGAAAGATTTGAAGGACCAGCAGACAAAAATGTGGACTTGTCAGAAAATATGGTGACTTGTTTACTCGAGGAAAAACTGTTGTTGATATTTTTATTGACTGTACCAGGTATGGGAGATAACTCAGGTCTCCTTCCTGACAAAATATCTAATCTCATATCTCGGGGAGTGCTGGCTACAATTTTCTCAAACTTCTCCATGTCATATCGTCGACGTTTGTTTGCTGATTGTGGTTCAACAAAATCTGTTGTTTTTCTTTTTTTGTCTGTTTCATTTGGAACTGATACACTGTCCAGGATGCTCTTCATCTTCTGTGATGTTAGGGGAGTTTTAGATTTGGGTGAGGTCTGGATGGTTGCCATGGAAATGTCTTCCTCTACTTCAATATCAAAAGATTCAGTTGCTTGCTTAAATTCCAACACTTTAGCTACTGGTACTTCATCAGTTGTAATGGCAATTGACTTTTTACTTTTTGACTTTTTCTCTGAGGAGTTTGGTAAATCTGCTTTGAAAGACAAGGAAATTCTTTTGGTAGAACTGGGTGTTTTCTTTGTTGAAATCTTTTTAGCACTTGATTTAGGTGTCTGCTTTATTGTGGACTTTGTTGATTTTTGTGGGGTTGATTTACTTGGAGTTTTGGAGTTTTTGGTCAGTTTCTTCCTATCCGAATCACTAAGTTTAAAAGAAAAACTTTCATCAACTTCAAGAGGTGTCAATGAAACTTCAAGAGAACTTTTCGTGGCAGACGAATTGGGAGAATCCTTTGTTGCTTTCCTTTTCTTAATGGAAGAGGAGCTCTTTTTAGTCTCTGATGATGTCTTTTTGGGAGATCCTTTTTTCTTTGGAGATGGAGATGGTGATCTGCTTGGTGACCTTTTACGTTTCTTGGCACTCTTGGTCACTGTAGTTAAAGATCTTTTTCTTGATTTACCAGGTGTCTTTCTTGTCCGTCTGGGAGAGAGAATGTCATCATCTTCAATATCATCTTCAATATCATCATCATCATCATCTGCTAATTCAACCTCCTTGACAGGAGTTTTAGCTTTGGCTTTTGATCTAACCGTTTTCTCCTTTTTAGGTGAACTTGTAGCCAAAATTACTTTGATATTTTGATGAGTTGATTTCTTTAATGAGTTGGAGTCTACCAAATTAATTTTTTTTGATGATTTCTTGACTGGACTGTTACTCTTAGCTTGTGATTTGGATGATGCCTTTTTAGGAGATCTTTTGGGTTCTGCAGCCTTCTTAGCTCTACTGCTTTTGGAAACTAACTTCTTACGTTTAGCAGAGTCAGCAGTTGGCACAGCAAAAACATAATCTGATTCTGAAACTAATTTCTTGGACCTGATAGCTGCCAGGGAATCTCTGCGAGCTTTGGGATCTAATCCTGTTAGAAGATTTTTACCAGATTTCTGATAAATTGAAGACCGTCTGGCTCTAGTTTTAACACCGGTTGGAGATATAAATACAGGTGGTTTCTTGAAGCTGTCCACTGAAGACGCCACGACTAAACTTTTTTTCACATACACAGAGGACCTGCAATGAAAAAAAATATATGTCTCATTATAAAGAAACTCAAACTATAATAGGGACAGAAGCGAGATTTAAGGAAGTAAATCATACCTTGGTCCCAGAAACATGCGTCGAACTGCTAATCTAATCAGTATTGATGTAAACATTTGATAAGAGAGGGCAGATAAGACCATAACTGAAGTGGCTATATTTGAAATAAAAGCTAATAAAAAAATAGAACGAAAGTTTGGTCTTATTTTAATTTGATCATGTTAAAAGAACATGACAATCCATTTAGTGTTTGTAACAAGATAACAGTATAGGTACACTTAAAAGTCATAATTTAAAATATATTTTCATTTGATTATTAATCAAATCAATTACACATGTGGCCAGTAAAGCGATCTTTACCAACTGAATAATATTGTGTGTATTGTTAAATTGTTGCTATATGTATAAATATTTGAATGAAATTAAAAAAAAACCCAAAAAACTGACATCACACAATGTTAACGTCATAATTATGCTTTAAGTTATAATATTACTTGGAGTTCAGGGTATATATGTTGTTTTATTTCATTTTACACTCAGTGTTCAAAAGTGTTATATGAAGGAAACAAAACTCAGTAGAAATATGATAAAGACAAAGTTCAGGAAACATAAGGAAAAATTCCCTAAGACCAACATATTTTAGAATGGCAAAACCAGTATTCACTCCATGAAGCAATGCCAGGGTTGCAACATTTTTGTGTGGATCTGGGAGATGCCTTGGGTAACCATCTTTTCTTTAGGAATCATATTCAAGCTTAATTTCAAATTCCTTAAAATATCATGTAGGAGGATCCATAAAACAAAAAATTGGTCAGACCCAAATGTTTAACCTGATTCTGGTCGAATGATTGAAAGTGACCTTTTTTTTCTTTCCTTTTTTTGTGACCTTGATGAAATCAACACAGAAGTTAACTATTATCATGTGTTTCCTTAATTATTTTATTGTCTATTGTAAAGTTTCATTACCTACAGACCACATATTGTGGTGTCATAAAACAGACAATGAACTTCTATCAAGAAATGGATTAACACTTTTCATAACAGCTTTTGAACTTCTTTTTAACACCTTTGTAACCATGTTAAAACATAAGGCCATATTTGAAATCAAATATTATCATTAATGTTACAAGTTATAGGTCAAATAAGATTGTTTCCCTACATCTCAATATAAACCTTACAAAACAATGAAATTTTTTTTTGTCTATGGCAAGAATTTGTAGGACCAAGTTTGCACAAGAGTGGCTCATAACTGTTCTGCCCAGGAAAGTTGTGAATTATGGAAACAATTGAACAAAAAACCTAAAATGGCGTCAATATAACCAGGAAAATTTTTATATAAAACCATTTAGATAATTTTAGTACTTAAAGCAATACTACCTTTAGAATGAACATAAAATTTCAATTTTCCAAAATTGGCAACTAAAAGTAAGCTTCTATTATCACCTTTGGCTGTACCCATTGCCAAAGAGTTAAAACAGAATCCATCTATAATCTAATGAATAGTTATGATAAACTAAAAACTAAGTAGTTTTGGAAAAAATTTATAAGCATTTTTCAATATTTGCGTTGTTTAATAGATTTTTTTTAACAGATTCTTTTGTATAGGCTTAGTTAAGGACACCTGGTAAGTCCAACTGATGAATTGAATATATTATACACTTATTGGCCAAGTTTGAGACTTTTAATTTTATGTTCATTCTAAAGCTGACCCCTTCTGCATGAATAACCGCATATAAGGAAACACAACATGCCATGTGCCGCGTCCACACTGGATCAGTACAAAAGGAAACTCAGCTTAAAAGGTAGTATATTTTTTAAAAGTGAAATCAATATTTAAGTTTAGTGTGTACTGGTGTAAAATAATTGAGTAGCTATGAATTATAAAATTGCTTTAATCTAAAAAGATCACAAATGTCTTGAAAGAAAGATTGCCCAAGGCATTTAATTAAGAAATTGAGAAGTTGGCAAATCTCCATGGTCTTCCAAAAATGCAAGGGAGGTTACTACAATTTTAATATGCCACAATTATACTTCAGACATCTATTCCCTATTTGAAATAATTCTCGACTGGGTGACATGATACCCTCGCGAGATCAGTAAGAGGTAGGAGAGGAAAATGGTCAGTTGACCACAAGTTGATCAAGTGCCGACTTCTGAGTTATTTTGCAAACTACAAAATATGTCTGTGTCTGTGTCAGTTTCACGCATTGTCATTCAAAAAAAACTGTAACAAACCTTCTAGCTTTAGGTGGTTTCATGGGTGATGGAGATCCGATGGATTTAGGACTTTCAAATAAACTGCCATGACCACTAACCCAGCCTGGCGACATTCGTAATGAGGCATTTTCTAAAAATAACTTTCTTGATGGAGACCTGTAAAAAAGCAATAATTACATGAAGTATACAAAAATTTTCAACCTTGAAAAATAAGTCAACAAATTTATGTTTTATAATACATGTAAGAAAGATGTGCTTTTGGGAAAGACATATAAACATGTATATCAAAATTTTTTGCATGAATATTTTCATTGACTTGTGATTCAAGATGTTTTTTTGACAGAGTACAACATAAGATTAGGCCAAAATGTCTGCCAAGGCCCAAGACTATTTACAATCAATCCTTGGTAAAATCAACAAAATATTATTATGCCCAAAATTTTCATAGCTGCAAGACTGTGAAATAGGCAATTGAATTATATTTAGGCTTCTGTATCACAGTCGATTGTTATTTACATGGTTACGTCTATCAAACGGTAGCTGTGGGTCCTAATCTCAGTCAGCGTGTCAAAAAGTTTGAGATAGAATAAGTGATCTTCACTCATAATACCAGTCAAACCCAGCTGTTAGGGTACGGATAATCTGGTATAAATCAATGCTAAGAGGTTTTGCCAAGGACCAGCTGGTAATAAGGATCCTATGTAAACTAAAGTTGTCATCCTTGTTAAACATTATTGTTTCTAGCTTCAAAGATCATTAATGGTGCTTCTTATTGGAACTATTTAGCAGTGTGTAAAAACATTGTCTGTTTACTACTTCAGAAAATGAAATGAAGCTACTTTTTTGCCCCATGTGGGCTAATGAAGACAGGTACTATTGTAAGTAACCTATTGGAGCATCTAGGATTTTATTTCTTTCATTTATACTTTGTAAGCTTATAGCATTATTTCAGCTTTTATGTGAACTTACGAAATTTCCTCAAAAGACTGCTGCAAACCAACTCTCCCCTGAACAGATGAAACTGTTTGAGTAACTGTGCGACTTGAAGAACTTATCTTCGTTACTTGTGTAGTTTTTCCTGTAGGCATCTTGTCACATATACTGCAAAAAAAAATACATTGATGTACATCAATAAATTGTACTGTACAAAAGGTATGCTTAGACAATTAAAACAGGGTAAGGCCATAACAACACAGAGGTAAGGGTACGAGTAAGAATAAATGACGATTTACCAAACATGTTAATTTTCATTAATAACAAGGGTAATATTTTAAGAACTGTTTTGAAGCTGATCTTTCAAATTCAATATGAAAAATTTGGTATATTGGGATATCTTCCCCAAAACAGTATCTTCTTAAAGTGATACTACTGGTACGTCTTAGAATGAACATAAAATTTATGAATTTTAGACTTAGCCAATAAGAGCTTGAGTAGATATACGGTACCTGGATCATAACAGGATCCTTATATAATCCAATAAATCCAAAAAACTTTGTAATTATCCATAAATATGCAATAAACTGCAATTACCAGTCATATTGACAATTCTTGAGAACTGAAATTTTATGTTCATTCTAAGACGTATTATCAGTTTAAGTAAGCTTTATGGGTATTCTTACAATGACCTTGAGTTAATTAAAATTCCTGTCACAGTGTGAAAACAAATTGAAAATCAATATTTTTGTTTGTTGGCATTTTTATTAAAGCAAAGTCAACTTAAGACGGCTAAGACTATATGTGTATTAATATTTTTTTAAACTGATAATAAACCTATTCCCATTCTTTTTCTATTTTAATTTAATTTAGGCTAATAATAAGGTACCTGTACACACAAAAATTAAAGACAACATGCAGTTCTGCAGTTCTATTTTATTATGTTATGGTATTTTGTGGTACATTATGGACATTTCACAAGCAAATAAAGTTAAAGATTAGATCTAAAGCCACAAATAGAGTATCCGCCCAGCTGATTAAAAGTAGGTCACGGGGTCACCATGCCTCATCCGATGTGTACAGAAACGAATGTTTGAAATCTTCAGCAACCGGCGAACAGACTTGTTATGAATTTAGGATCTCAAGACCAAGTCCTGATTGAAAGAGAGAACAGTTACTGATAAAGTAACGTTTGTTACTAAATGAAATACTACTCACCTGTCAATACCGTCAAAACATCGATGTTTATGTTATTTTTAGTAGTAATGGATAACGGTTGATTCGTGAACCAAATCTCACTTGAACGTAGCGGGGAACTATTTTTATTCAACTTTGACCTTTAACTCCTTATTTGGACTAAGAACGCCCATTCTATTTTTATTGACCAATCAGAGCTTAGCGTGGTCAAAATTCAAACTACGCCATATTGTATGATTACGCCGCCATAAAAACAAAGACATTTAATTAAAAATGTTGAGATGTGAGCCGAGATTAGTCTCCTAATTTAATTTGCCGTTAATATGAAATAAAAACACATGTATTTTATTTGTGTTTTGACAAGTAATAGCTTCAAGGATCTTTATTAATGGTGCTTCTTATTAGAACTATTTAGCAGTGCGTAAAAACATTGTTTGTTTACTACTTCAGATGAAGAATTTGTAACGTATTGGCGCGGATAGGATTTTACACATGAAGCAGCGCTGCAATATTTTGTTTGTATAAACAATAAATACAAAATATTATTAAATGAAAGTAAGTTTAATTTGTGTGCATTGATTTAAACTGATTGTTCACCGAATATATCTCAGTCTGTGATGAACTAGATTTTGTGAATCATTAAATTTACATTTTTTTCTAAATTCTTTCCTATTTTCAAATTTTCAGTCGACATTTTTATTTGTTGACAATTATGAATCGGTGAAATTTAAATCACAAAGTTGTAGATATGACTTTGATATTAGTTATTTTGCCTACAATGATCTTTTTGTCCGCAACAGGCAACCTCAATCCTCATTCGATTCAGTGACAGTCTTTAGTTTATAGCCTAGAAAAAATAAAGAACGATGCATGATCACAGCAGTGTTTTTGAATTTTTTTATTAGGCATATAAAAGCAACAGGCCTAGTAACTGTTCTCAAGATTAATGTCAAGGTTATAATTTATTTTAGTCAAAGGACAGTTTTATTTAATGTCAATGTAGATCTACAAATTTAAGGAATTACTTTATGTTAATAGGCTAGATACGGGAAAGCCTAAAGTAGTGTATTTCTAGCCTTTTGAAGGTGTGGATTTATAGAAAATTATTAGCTCAGCTTTGTTACTAATATCACATTGTCAGCCATCCTTTCTGGTCATTTTAGAATTAATTAACTTTTTTAGCTTCAAGATGAGTTCTGATTATGGTAAGATAGTAGTTATTAAACGAAATGGATCTGATGGAGCAAAGTTTCCCCTTACAGCTACCTCTTGTTTATTTGGCAGGTGAGTCTCATAGCCCTGCTATGGCTGTTAAATTCGATTTTTTTTTAAACAGTAAAATGCAACAAAATGTTTTCTGTGTTGATTTTGAAAATACTCCAATAGGTATCAGGTAATTTCTCACAGAAAAAGTGCAGTTTTATCATTCTTATGTTACTGTAGGTTACTCTAATGACAAAAAGTTCTAGAAATAGCTTCTCTTTTTTTTTTTTTTTAGAGAAATTTGAATAATTTATCCTTTATGCTAGGTCATAACTGGCTTCAATTTTCAAACAGATAGTAAAAATTATATCTGCAATCTCCATCTTGAATATTCTTTGAGCAGATAAGCTTATGATTCAAAAGGTATTTAAAAATCTGTGCAAACAATTCAATCCAATGACCTAAAATCTAGTCCAAAGCATGACAAAATCAGGAGCAATAAAATGCATTGGACTCCTGAAACAAGAAGTATCATGGTGTGTTTTGAAAAGAGATTTGCATGTGGCAATTGCCTCTACTAATTGTCAAAATTTTGAGATGCCGTACGATCTGATCAATTCATGCCTCTGACTAAACAAATCAACCAAAATGCAAGAAGCAGATATATTGTATTGTTCCCCAAGTTTGCCATTGAAATACTATTTTGAATTTTTCAATTTTAGGCACAGCGATTGTGATATTAGAATTCAGTTACAAAGTGTTGCTGATGAACATTGTAGAATAGATGTAAATGCTCAGGGACAGGTAATAATTTTTATTTATTGAAAACCAAGTTTTGTTAAGTTTTTGAATTAGAAAACAGTTTTTCATCCTGCCATTTTGGATGTTTTTCACATTTAGCCCATTTGTAGTTATTACTGATGATCTCATAGCTAATATCTTATGAGAGATTAATGGTAATACTCTGAAGAATCCGTCTAAACAGATAGTCATAACTTTATAACTGTGATATTTGGTAATATAGTTGATAGAAGTGGTTAGTGTCCACTGTCTCATAAATAGTTTCTAACAATTTTAGCGAAAACATTTTTACATAATGAAACTCCTTCATTAAAATCCCAACTTGTTTATGGAATAAAAGGTACCGCCAAGTATTGATACACGACGCGCAATACAATACACATATTGTTGCATGTCGTATTGCGATATATCGATTCACCGATGTATATATCGTGCCAGCACTAAATTCATGTTAAACATGTTCCTTCCATGTCAAAAGAAAATACTTTAAAGGGATTGTAAGGAGGTTTTCTAAAATATAAATTTTGTGTATCGGGGACACTGATAGCATCATTTTGTACCATATAAATTTGCAATCCCTTTAAATGTGACGTTCTTTGGTTAGAAATAAGAAAGTATCACTTTCCAAGCAACTGGAACCTTATCAACAGTTCCTATGACCCTTTCTTTGACTCTGACAATTGTTTTCCTGAGTTTAATTATTTAATATCGAGCAGACTTTACTACCTATTATTAAGCATTAAGATATGGAAATGTAGAAAATTAAAAAAATTGGATAGTAAGCTTAATTTATTATAATTGCAGATATTTGTAACAAATTTAAGCAAGGACAACCCCACTTTGATCAATGGAATTGCCTGTTCCAGTTCCTGCAAAGTGGCACACAATGATGTGTTCACTGTGGCTGATAGATCCTTCCGATTTGAATTTTCACCTGGTTCACCATTTTATCCAACACCTGCAAAATCACCTAAGCCTTCAGCAAAATCACCAGTGAAGACACCAGCAAAATCACCAGTTAAGACACCAGCAAAATCACCAGTAAAGACACCAGCAAAAATAGCAAAGTCACCAGCTAAAATATTAACGCCAAAGGTAGCACTGTTTAGCACGTATTTTGTATTATAATTGTTTATTTGTTTGCACTTGCACTCATACAAACAACAGTGATGTTGGCAGAAACAAAACTGAATCAGTGATGCTATTGATCTAGACATGAGCAGTCCACTTTCTGCTTTCTGCACAATGAATAGTAAAGAAAAAATACAAGGTAGATCCATTGTGTTCATCTAAAAATACATCCAGACTGATCATGTTGACGTTTGAATAGTCCCTTGATATTTGCTCAACTGTACTGTTGTACCACCATTTCTTAACAGGCACATATTGTTGTATTTTGTGTACACTTCTGCACCTCCATCTTTTTATAGCCCACCATCTTTTTGGATAATCTTACTAATTTTTATATCTTTTTATTTTTTTCAGGCAAAGCCACCTACTCCAGCATCATCAGCCAAGAAAATTTCACTTACGCCATTGTCACCTAGATCATTAAATATTCCTGTGACAACTCCCAAATCATCCAAGAAGGCTGAAAGTCGGAGGTCATCTAGTGCATCAACTCAAAGGGTCACTACACCAAGGGCAGCAACTCCAAGGTCATCTTCTGTGTCTCCAACACGCAAGAATAAAACACCATCACCTCCAAAGCAGCAGAAACAAGTAACACCCAAGAATAAATCCCCAGCTGTAAAGAGTACTAAGTCCAGTCCAAAGACCCCTGTCTCAAATTCTGAGGTGTCTCCTAAAGCTAATAGTAAAAAGACACCTGTTAAAGAAACAGAAGACACAAATATCGAGACATCTGCAACGCCAAAGGGTAGATCTCCAAAAATTGTAAAAAATCAATCTCCAGGAACAGAAACTCCAAAACAAACTACACCTAGAGGTCGCAGCTCATCTCCTAAGCAAGTTACCCCAAGAGGCAGAAGTCCATCTCCAAAATCAGTTACACCTAAAACAAAGACTCCATCACCGAAACCATCTACACCAACATCAAGGACTGCATCTCCAAAACAAGTTACACCTAAAACAAAGACTCCATCGTTGAAACCCTCTACACCAACATCAAGGACTGCATCTCCACAGCAAATTACACCAAGAGGCAGAAGTCCAGCTAAACAATCTAATACCCCAAAAGTGCAAACTCCTTCCCCAAGATCTGCTACATCTAAAGCTAAGAATACTGAAGGTACAACACCCGAGAGAAAAAATACACCTGCTCAAAAACCTGTTTCACCCAAATTATCAACACCCAAAGGGAAAACTCCAAAATCAAGGCGTTCAGCTTCACCTGGATCAACTATTCCTAAAACACCCAAAAATATTCGTACAGGTAAGGAGTCATTTTACCTTTGAATCATTGTGTAAGCTTACTGTGTAGTAAGTAGTTGTTCAACATGTCTTTTGAATTGTGTAAAAGTCAGTAATTTTCTCTAAAGTTTTCTCTAAAGATCTCTTCTTATAGGCAGTGAGGATGTCTTGGCCACTGGGCATTATTGTGGAATCATATCCACTTGATAAATGAAACTATGTTACCATAGCAATCATTTGTGTGGATGAAAAACTTCAGTTCATATCTTTTTTTCTAAGAAACCTTTTATTTTTTTCTAGGATCTGGTAGGAAGAGAAAGTCTTCCTATGACAATGCACCACCCTCAAAACGTAAGCGTGTTTCATTTGGCCCCAATTTGAGTCCAGAACAGTTTGATAAAACTCTTCCTCCATCAACACCAATTGCTAAAGGTGCCACACCAAGGAGAAAATCAGAGCCTATGAAGTCAGTAACACCAATGTCACTTCTGAAACGAAGATCTATGGCAATGTTTAACACTTCCCCAATAAGAGAAGAAAGTCCTAAAAATACTCCCAAATCAGTAAAATCACCTGCAAAGAGTCAGATATCCCCCAAGTCTGCTTCAAAGAGCTCATCAGCAAAGTCACCTGGGCGAATTGCTGTTGTCAGCCAACATGTTGGATCTCCACAGAGGATCTTGAGTAAAAGTCCTGGACGAACACCACTTAGAGTTCCAGTAACTTCAGGTCCTTCCTCAAACAAGACACCCTCTCTGCTAGATACAGCAACAAGACTATCCAGAAAAGATACTAAGAGCCCAACTAGAACACCCGCAAAAAGCCCAAGCAGATCACCTGTTAAGAGCCCCATTAGAACCCCTGCTAAGAGTCCAACGACGACACCTGCCAAGAGTCCAACTAGAACAGATGCAAAATCCCCAAAAAGAACTCCTGTGAAGAGTAGAACACCCACATCTGCAAAGAGCCCGACCGTAACACCTGCAAAGAGTCCAACTAGAACACCTGCAAAGTCCCCAACAAGAACTCCTACAAAAAGTAGAACACCCACACCTACAAAGAGTTCAGCTGGAACACCTGCAAAATCTCCAATCAGAACACCTACACCTACCACACCCGCCAAGTCCCCAACAAGAACTCCTGCAAAAAGTCCAAAAACAAGCCCAAGATTATCAAGGAGTCCAGCACAATTAAATATATCTCCAAAGGCAACCACTCCAAAGGAAAAGAAAACTCCTGCTAAAACCCCAACAAAATCTCCTGCTCAAACATCTGTTTCTTCACCAGATGAAAATTCTCCAGAATATTTGTTTGCATCAAGATCTAAAAAGCCTGTGGCTATTGTAACTCCTCAAAGATCAAGATCAGCTTCTCCAGTCATCATAGAAAACATTGTGCCATCCCCAAGAAACAAGGGAAGTCAAGATATGTCAGTATATGATTTTCATTCTGGAGATGAAAGTGGTGAGGACCTTTTTGACTCTCAAGATAGTCACAGTAGAAGGAGTTCAGTAAAGGTTACTCCAAAGATAACAAAGAAGAGTTCCAAAGCCAAGAAAAGTCCTGTTATCAGTCCAGTTGCTATGACCAAAATGTTAAAGACCCCTAAAACATTCTATTCAACAAAGGGAAGAAGCAGTTTATCTGGTCTCCAGAAGATGATGAGAACCCCAAAGTCAGCAAACAAAAACTCAAACAATCTTGATGTGAGTTTTACTGGTCTGCCAGAATTAATGAATACACCTCTAGTGTCCCCAAAGACTACTCCGAAATCATCCAGAAAGCAGACTCCTAAATCTTCCAGAAAGAGTTCTGGTTCCATTGACAACTTGACTGCTATTGTGACCACCAAGTCTCCAGAAGTAAAAAAGACCCCCAAATCATCAAGAAAGAGTACAGGCTCACTGAAACTGTCTCCTACATCAGCAAAGAAGGTCACACCAAAATTGTCCAGAAAAAGCACTGGATCAATGAAGAAATCTCCAACACCCATAAAAACACGACCTCGTAGTGCTGAGAAGTCACCAAAGATGACTCTCAGCTCAAGGAAGATGAGAATGTTTGCCAGTCCTGTTGACAAGATAGCTTCTCCTGCCACTGATTTAAATAAAGTGGTTGTATTAAGAGCTATTCATGGAAAAATTGCAACACCCAAGTTAGCTTCAATAGTTCATAAACGCACCCCAAGAAAAAGTGTAGTTAAAAAACTGACTCCAGCAAAATCTATAAAGAAGAAACTGTGGTCTGACATTTTGAAAAGTGGTTTAACAGATGCTGGTATTGTAAAGAGAGTTGCTGCTCCTAAACCACTTCACGCCAAGGTTGTCAAGAAGTCTTCTCCAAAAGCATCATCCTCGGTAAGTTGGTTAAATTTTCTTAGTAGAATTAGAAATATGTGTTGATTTGAAAACTCTTACTTAAACTTAGATTTTTGAATTATATGGACGTGGAAGACCTTGCTTGATCTGTCTGGAAAACACCTTACACCTAATACATAATGAAGAACATGATTTTTAATCCATTTTTTTATTCTAGAAATCTAAGGTTGGCAAGACTCCAAAGACTCCCAGAGCTGTTGCACGAGCTTTAGCTCCATCTACTGGACATATTGAGTCACCCATGACATTTGTTGTTGGTAAGAAAGTTACCAAGAAGGCAAAAACACCTGTAGCTTTGCCTAGAAAAGGACGAAAGGCGTCTCTTGGGGTAAGTAATTATGAAATTCAGTTCATCATTGGATATATTGGTAGTAATCCAAAGTCCACGACCTAACAATGTGGCAGCTAATCTTTTTCAGACACATGTGACAAAATAAGACATGTTGAATTTCAGACCCACAGAATTAGACATGCTACAGATGACTTTAATGGAAATAGTTAATTCCATTGTTGCATTAACAACTTTTATTTTTCTTGCTTTTCAGAAATCAAGGAAGTCCCTAGGTAATACAGATTATTCTGGTCTTGATGATTTGTTTTCCACACCCCCACCAAAAGCCAGGAAATCACTTGGATCCACTAGTACATCAATGAATCAAAGTGGTACACCACACAATCTTTATGCTGATTTACCAGACACACCAAATGGACCAGGTGAAATGATTATTTCCCCACTTAGCTCCCGTAAGCCATCAGGTCGTAAGAGTTTGAAGAGTCCACATCTTGTTGGTGTCAAGGGGTTATTCACAAAAAATAAGACCCCTGCTAAGGTTCAGTTGGATGGAGTTGAAAACCTTTTGAAAACTCCAAAGCAAAAGGCAGCCAAGGTACAAAAATCTCCAGATTTAAAAGGAATTCAAAGGTTGATGACTACTCCTAAGAATAAGCCACAAAAGAATGCTCCTGCTTCCCCATCTGGTGTAGAACAGCTTTTTGCATCTCCGACAGGAAGTGCAAAGAAGACTCCTGAGAAGGTGACTCCCAAGAAAGTAACTCCTAAGAAAACTACCCCCTTGAAGAGTGCTGCAAAGACTAAGAATACCCCAGAGAAGGTTACTCCTAAGAAAGTTACTCCTAAGAAAACTTCCCCTTTGAAGAGTGCCAAAAAGACAAAGACTCCAGGGAAGGTTTCTCCTAAGAAAACTTCCCCTTTGAAAAGTGCTACAAAGACAAAGACCCCAGAGAAGGTTTCTCCTAAGAAAGTTACTCCCTCAAAGAGTGCTGGAAAGAGTAAAAAGGTGGTTGCTACCAAAGTAACTCCTGTAAAGAGTACAAGAAAGACACGAAAGACACCTGTCAAAGTGTCACCTAAGGTCCTAAAATCTGCTGTAAAAGCTATCAAAGAAGCTGTTGAAGACAAACTGCCAGAAGCTGTAATCACCATCACACCAATCAAATCACCAAAAACCTCACCACCGAAACGTGGAGGTAGAAAAGCTACAAAAACTGCTAGAAAATTAAACACACCAAGCCCCAAAAAGGTAATGATTATCTTACCCCAACAATATTTTAAAACTAACTTCATGTTCATAATAAAATCAAAGATTTCCAATGATAATTCTAATTAGCAGTTTTAACCATATGATTGTTACCTTAGGTGGCTGGGCACCCAAAGTACCTAACTGCAGTTTTAGTTTAATGTTAGGTGTCCAAACATAATCATTTTATATCTTTGATTCTGTGAATTTTTTTGGATCTTTCATCCACCTAAGCTTTGAATCTTCTGCTACCACTATTCAGTTTGACCTTTGATTATAATCTTGTGTACTTAAATATTTCAGGTTAGGGCTACAAGAGGAAAGCCTGTTGCTGAAAAAGTTGTTACACCAGTCCAACCTACCAGGTAATTGTTCATCAAAGTGGTATTCCACCTAGATTTTTAGTTTTGTCTAATATTTCTTAGATATTGTCATGTCCATTGTTGTAGGAACATGGATCAATAATGGATCACCACACTTGCCCAGATTATGATTAGGTCCAAATTAGTGACACATAGGCTGGGTGAAACAATCGATTATCATCACTTAGAATTTATATATTATCGAATTTCATAATCGATTATCGCAATTCATAATCAATTATCGAATTTCACATTAATCGATTTAATGTCAAAGTTGCATTTCCTTCAGTGTATCTGTTAAAGTGTAATCTCTTCCACATTGTTTCCCTTCAGCACATGACTTGCCCACATTCATCAATAATAACCAATCAAAACAATAAATAATCATATTATTATACATTAATGATACAAAAATAACCCATGAATATGAATCTAAATATCAACAAAAAATTTAAAATATTGAATGATTGAAATGGTGACATGGCCTTTAGGTCTCCGGTGCAGACGTGTTGACCGAAAATACGAGATGCTAAGGAGTCTGGTATATATTCGCCAGATTTTCACTAAGAATTGTGAATCACGTTATTCTATATTGAAAACAATCATAATTTAAGCAAAAAATAATAATCGGAGTTATTGTTTATATCAATGGAAAATCGACTGGAATCATGAAAATATTAAATATACAATAATAACGAAACTTACCTTGTCGACGCCATTTTGATGGCACTTGATCGACTAACCTTCTCACGAGGCAAGTTAGTTGATTTAGTAAATCGATGTCGTTAATGTGAAAATTTACTGAATCAGATTAACCAAATTTTTCCCGTTAACGCGTTTGCTGTAAATCAATCGAGTTGATCAAATCTCGTAAAAACGCTTAATCTCAATTTGTTAATCTCTACCCAGTCCAGCCTTATTGCTAATACTCAATGATACGTTTGTTTGTATATTTGTATATCACAAATTGTCATCTTTATGTTTGTGTACATCCAGGAACAATGAAAAGCTCATGAGCATTTTTTTATGTTTCAAGGCAGATCAATAATTAAAATTATACTGGTACATTTTTGTGTTCATTATACTACTAAAAACTACCTAAAGTTTGAGTGGACTACGCCTATAGTTTATGCTTGTGAATTGCGATCTATTATGTAAATGCTGGCTAATAATTAGGATTTGTAATTTCAGACGAGGTAGAAAACGAGCAGCAGAAGAAACCACATCACCAGAGAGTAAACGTGTTAAAATACAGACACCTGCTAAATCAGGTAAGTTAGAATTATAAAACTTTTTTTAAAGCGACAGTTTGATTTGTTACAAAATTTAAATGTTCAAATGAATCAAAACTTTGGGTTTTTTGGTTTGTGTTGGAAAACTAATGTACAGATTTGAATCAAATCAACGCCAAATTGTAAAGAAATATGTTCCTGCTTATTCTTAAGATTTTAATTTCCAAGGTTTTTGATTCCGGTAATGGAAATTTGGCATATATGTAAGCTAACTACGAAGGTGCAAAATTTGCTGACATCTCAAATTCAAGATTTCAATTTTATAAAATTTGCTTAATCCTATTTGCTTTTATATTGATAAGCTTATACACGTATACAGTATCTGAAACACAAAATTGTGTTAACAAAACGCTTTTTTGACTGTAATTATTTATTGCAATTTTTTTTTTTACCTTGCAGCAGTCAAAGCTAAAGCTACCAAGCCTTCCCCAAAGAAAGCTCAAGGTAAATCAACACCTAAAAAAGGGAAGTCAAAGCAAATTGAGGTAGTAGACTCAGAACCAGAAGTAATTGAAATTGAGTCATCACCTGAGAAACCTGCCGGTCGAAAAGGAAGACCAACTCGTAGTAAACCTGCTACACCTAAAAAACCATCACCCAAGAAGGGAAGAAACACGAAGGGAAGAGCCGTAAACAGTAAATCAGAAGACGAATCAGCCTCAGACACAAAAGATGTCACCCCGAAGAAAGAAACCCCAAAGAAAGTTGGAAGAGGTACAAGAGGTAAGCCTGTCACAAAAGTGACACCCAAGAAGAGAGGCCGAGCAACTAGAGGAACACTTAGTGAGGAATCTTCTGCTGATGATGACATTACAGCTGCTAAGCAACCTGCATTTAAAATGCCAACTCCAAAGAAAGCAACCCCAATTAAGAAGGGAAGAGCAACCAGGGGTGGTGTGAAAAAGGTTAACACTCCTAAAAAGGCTCTAGAAGAAACTACTACTACTGCTAAACCAGCATTAAAACGAAAGGCTGAAGAGACTCCTGTTCAACCGGCAAAGAAAGTTAAAGCTGTGGCAAAGAAGCAACTTCCATCAAAGGCCAAAGCAAAGCAATTAAAGAGCACAAGTACACCTCTAAAAGAAGAACAGGAAAAGCCCCGAAAGACCTCTGTGAAAGTAAGTCCTGCTACAGCAAAAAGTCCAGTTGTTGCAAGAAAAACCAGGGGTGGCAAAGCTAAAACAAGTCCTGCAAAACCCAAAACCCCTGCCAAGGTCAAGTCACCTGCTAAAACAATTTCAGAGAAGACTAAATCTCCTGTTTCTAAAATCAAGAAAACTACTACACCAGCAAAGAGACCAACAACTGAGAGAAAAACCAGAGGTGGCAAAGCTAAAACCAGTCCTGCCAAACCCAAAACCCCTGCCAAGGAAATAAAAAGCACAAGTACACCTGTGGAAGTAAGTCCTGCTAAAGCAAAAAGCCCAGTTGTTGCAAGAAAAACCAGAGGTGGTAAATCTAAAGCAAGTCCTGCTAAACCCAAAACCCCTGCCAAGGTCAAGTCAGCCGCTAAAACGATTTCAAAGAAGACAAAATCTCCTGTTCCTAAAGCCAAGAAAACTACTACACCAATAAAAAGAGCAACAAGAAGTCGAAAATAAATTAATTTAATTTAAAGAAAATCAGTTATTTTTGTAAAAAAAAAAAGTGTACTTATTATTATTTGTATATTTTTGGATACAACATTTTTATGGTTCATATTATTAACTCATGTGTACAGATATCATAACTAAATGTTTGATAATGTCTCATTGTGTAGAAATTTTGTTAACATGTATTCTGATTATAAATTTTTGTAATTAAGTTTGTATTTTAGTGCTATTTATAGGAATACAGTCTTGTAAATTTTTTTTGTTTTTAAGCCCTCTTTTGGAATTAAGGGTTCAATGTCATGTTTTCTGCAATGAAATCTGTTTCTATGGGTTACAGTAATTTGTTGGCACTTGTTTCCATGGATTACAGTAATTTATTGGTACTTGTTTCCATGGGTCACAGTAATTTGTCGGTACTTGTTTCAATGGGTTACAGTATTTTTTGGTACTTTGTTTCCATGGGTTACAGTAATTTGTCGGTACTTGTTTCCATGGGTCACAGTAATTTGTCGGTACTTGTTTCCATGGGGCACAGTAATTTGTCGGTACTTGTTTCCATGGGTTACAGTAATTTTTGCTACCTGTTTCCATGGGTCACAGTAATTTGTTGGTACTTGTTTTCATGGGTCACAGTAATTTGTTGGTACTTGTTTTCATGGGTTCAGTAATTTATTGGTACTTATTTCCATGGGTTACAGTAATTTGTCGGTACTTGTTTCCATGGGTCACAGTAATTTGTCGGTACTTGTTTCCATGGGGCACAATATTTTGTCGGTACTTGTTTCCATGGGTTACAGTAATTTTTGCTACCTGTTTCCATGGGGCACAGTAATTTATTGGTACTTGTTTCCATGGGTCACAGTAATTTGTTGGTACTTGTTTCCATGGGTTACAGTAATTTATTGGTACTTATTTCCATGGGTTACAGTAATTTATTGGTACTTGTTTCCATGGGTTACAGTAATTTGTTAGTACTAATTTGTTGGCAATTTTCATTCTTAAGAGTTCCGTATAAGCTTATCATTTATATTTTTTGATATATTTTATGCATTGGTCAAAATAATATTTAATTTCGAACTCATAATATTAAGGATTATATTTTTGTTGGATATTTTTTTTGTAAGAGGCATGTGTATATTTATTACTATTTCCATTTTCTTTCTATAATCATTAACTTAGTTTTACACCATTGTATTTATGAGAAAGTTAATATCATCAGATTTTCAATTTTTCCATTGGTTGTAATTTTTCAAATTTCTTTAAATCTGATTAGCTGATTATACTTATTTCATCAAAATGATGATCATATTGTAATCACCAATGATTATTGTAATCATCATGATTATTGTAATCATCAATGGTTATTGTGTATTATCATATGATTATTGTGCATTATATAACTATTGTGTAGTATCATATGATTATTGTAATCATCAATGATTATTGTGTTTCATCATATGATTATTGAACTCATCACTTGCTATTGTAATCATCAATGATTATTGTGTATTATAATATGATTATTGTACTCATCACTTGCTATTGTAATCATCAATGATTATTGTGTATTATCATATGATTGTTGTGCATTATCATAAAACTATGGTATTGTGTAGTATCATATGATTTATTGTAATCATCAACGATTATTGTGTATTACATGATTTTATAATCAATATTTAATCATTTTGGACATACATACATGTTAATCTGACTCTTATTTGGATAATATTTTGATATTTCATCATTTGTACATAATTTCATCATTTTATTGAGTAATTGTCATCATTAATGATCTTCTTTACTTTCTCTTTTCTTATTTCCAGTCTTTTCTCTTCATTGAGTAATGTACATCAATTTCATATTTTTCCTGTTTCTATTTCCAGTCTTTTCATTGAGTATTGTACATCAGATCTCTTTAATATCAGTTTCATTATTTAAATATCAACTTGATCTTTAAAATTTGCTATCTATCTCATAAACAACATTTGAATTTGAAACTTAATTTTGTATTATTTGAACATTACCCAAATCTACCTTTTACACCAATATTGGCAGACTCTGATCTGAGCTCTGCTAAAAGTGGATTCTATGTCAGTATCTCCTTGCTAGAAGGCAGAATATTAATAAGGGATTGGTTCACAATTTTTGAACGCCCATATAAAATTTGGGGGCGTATATTGTCATCACCCATGTCCGTCCGTCCGTCCGTCCATAATTGCTCATAAACACTCTACAATGCACATACTGGTAAGTGTTACTTTACTGCCAAATATTTTTATTTAAAATCAACGCTGCCAGTGGGCATATATTACCTTGCCTGGCAAGTTATCTTCGTAAGTTGATTTGGGTCTTGAATATGATACATGTATGTAAATAGTTTTCAAAAGACAAGATAATTCTAGACACACATGAATTTGAAGGCTCAAATTTCAACGGTGAGCTGTGAACACTATTACTGATCAGCTTAGCTAAAAAAATTCAAACAGATGGCAAATCTGTCCCTTTAAGCAAACCATGATATTCTCTGTATAATTCATCATTTTGTCTCCAACATATGTAGTCTGTAGTATCTGGAAGATTTATAAAAAATCTCATTTCCAACGTTATAATTCAGCAGAAAGCATTCAAGTCCAGCAGAAAAAGTAAAGTCTGAACGTCAACAGAAGTCATTTATTAAGACCAGAATTTTTCATTTTTTTTGTTCTGGTTACATAAACTCTCCATCCCATAAATGTCTAGCTCTTTCACACTTGGTCTTATACCTTGACTGCAATAGCCACCATGTTGTAACAGAAATGCAGCAATTTGATTAGTTTGTACATTAATGAATACAGCCAATAACATTGTTTTTACAGACTTTCTATCAAGGCCTCTGATTAGCTGTATTTGCTAGTGTAGGCACAGGAAAGGTGGCTATTGCAGTCAAGGTATAAGACAACGTTCATAATAGTTTGACATTATAAAGATGTCACCATCTATGATCTTCAATTCAACGTCATAGACAACATAATTAACTGTAAAGTTAAATAATTTATATACCAAGATGTAATCTAGAAATATATTGAAAGGAACATTTGATTGGTTGATATATAAATGACCTAGAACATCTGTTGCCAACCAATTCGGTTAGATTATGGACGAAAGATGGAGTCCAAAAAAGGGAAACACAAGTTAACAGCACTCCAACAAAAAAACTTTCAGTATTTTTTCACTGCGAAAAAAATGTGTTGGGAGATAACAACTGTATTGTTCGGGAAAACAGAAATGCCAATTTTTGAAAAAAAAAAAAAAAATTACATAAAGATTTTATCCAGCAATTAAAAAGTTACATATAAAAAGGAATGTTAAAACATGTATTTATTATTTACATAAAATTTCAAAAACCAAAATAACATATATTATAAAATTGTGTTCGTAGCTCCAATTTGAAATGAAAGATGATGTATATAGCTAAGCATTGGGAAATCATACAAGGGTAGACAAGCGTGCACCTATACCATATTCAATTGACAACAAAAATTGCAAGTTACCAAGATAACTGACTGTCCAATATCTGTGATTAGTAGTTGATATATAGTAGTGTATAATACAAATTAAAGCCATTTTAGCACATTTTTTGTGAAACTACAAGCTGCGATTACATGTGTCCGAAAGTCTCCCACAGTAGCACTAAGAAATGATAGTCTATAGCATTATAAATATGTTACATAGTTTATATATTATGTTATCAAACAGACGGCATGCCTCCATATAATTATGCATTTTATAAAATAAAACCATAAAAGAATACTATCTCTTAGAATGAACATAACATATAAAATCTTAAACTTAGCCAATAAGAGTTATTTATTTGCCAAGTTTAAAAATATGAATATTTTGGTCATCCTTTGAGGTGGTATTCCTTTTAAAATCAAAATATTAAATATGAGAAAATAAATTAGAGATAAATATAATGTGTATAATATAATGTTTGTTAGAAATATAATCTGATCACTGGTTTGAATCATGGGCGCAGATCACAAGGGGGACATCAGAAAACCTGTCCCCCACACTCCCCACAAATGGTCAAGCTTGGTTGAGTAGAGTGTCTGTAATGGACGTAAAATAGGCACAATTTGGCATCTGAGGACATCAAAGTGACGAAATTTTGCAAACAATTTATGGTCAAGTGACAGGAAGACCATTCGTTCGTTTTGGGATCCATCTCCACTCACAGAAGCGTCGTTACGAAGGGGCACACATACGGTCTACCCCCATTTGAAAAAGTGATCTGCGCCCCTGGTTTGAATACATAGAATGTTATCAGAAACTTAACCTGTTGTTAAAGGGACAGGTAGACCATTTATTTTACCAATTATACTTTAGTCTCAGAAACTGGATTTCCTTTAGCTGAGCTAATCAGTAATAGTGTTTACAGCTCACCGTTGAAATTTGAGCCTTTAAATCCATGTGTGTCCAGAATTATCAGCACTTGAATGTTAAAATGACGACTTGTCAAGATAGTGAGTAAAATTCCTATTTTGAAGGAATTTTAAAGGAATTATGTGATTTTTGTACATTTCTAGTACTTCTGAAGACTATTTACATATATTTAAGACTAAAAAATGGCCCATCTATCCCTTTAAATGGCAAATGAAACAGACAGTGATGTCGAAATTATGAGACTAAAGTATGATTGGTCTAAAAAAATGGCGCATCTGTCCCTTTAACATGCAAATAAAATTTGTTCTAAAATAATAATAAAATAGAAGAAAATAATAGAAAAATATGAATTCCAAATAAATTACTAGGTCATTATCATACAGTCTGGGTGTTCTATGCTTTATAATTTGTATCAAGAATAGTTTTCAAATCAAGGATTTTCTAGCCCTTTAGTGTAAACTGGGACACTTTAACACATTTTCTAGAGATTTTGTGCACGTGGAAGCTATAAGACAATGTCTTGAAGACAAACAAAAATAATGATGATCAAACCTCTAATAAAAAGTTTCAAAAATTGTGATGCTGTACAAAGGGCTCTATCTAATTCAAATTAAATTAGAATTCTTTTCTTTTAATTTTCTGTTTTTTAGCCTCTGCATTGTGATCTTAAAAGTATTCTACCACTGTCCCGTTCTGATGACATTGTTATTAACCAATCAAATCGTGTCATGTAGTATAAATCTGAATTAGCTAAGTTTACAAATATATAACATAATGATGTTAATTTTAACTTCAGCAAAATATATTTTGGCACAAGGACTATGTTTTTGAATATACAATTATACATTTTTTATAGCGAGACAAAATAAAATATAAAACAATATTTGAATCTGCCATAAACCATTGTTGTAATCAAATTGCCTCTCTCAATACACTGCTATACAAATTTTAAACATGTTAGCTGTAACCATTGGATACACCTGGCAACTATGATTGGCAGCCACTGTCAAATAGCCAGTGGATACGCCTGACAACTATGATTGGCAGCCACTGTCAAAAAACCATTCCTACGTACTGGTTCCATACTACTAATGATGAACAGAAAGACCAAGAAGGAACAAACCATGTCAAGTAACCATTGGATACGCCTGGCAACTATGATTGGCAGCCACTGTCAAATAGCCATTGGATACGCCTGACAACTATGATTGGCAGCCACTGTCAAAAAACCATTCCTATGTACTGGTCCCATACTACTAATGATGAACAGAAAGACCAAGAAGGTACAAACCATGTAAGAAAGTTTGGGTATTTGATGTAGACATCACAGATGAGATTTATTTGGGTAATGGTTTGGTTAATTTGGCAGTCAAGCCTTGTCCTTTAGTACCTTGAAGAATCATGTTCACTTTTTGGTGATTCTGGATTAAGGCATCTACTGTGTCAAATGCCTTGAAAATATAAAAAAAAAAGGAATTGAAATTGCATAGAGGAATGTCATGCTATGAGTGCCATGGTGCCAGTACCAGTCATGTCATTGGTGCTTACTCAAGAAATCCAACAAGCAGTATTGCTTGAGTCATGCTGTACATATCGTCATACAAAAAAAGATTTCCAGCTTAAACAAAAGGGAAATAACTCATTAGGACTGGGTACTCCACCTACTTTCTCCCGAAGAACAGAATGGTGCTTATTCAAGAAATCAAACTGGCAGTATGGCTTGAATCATGCTGTACAGATCATCATACAAAAAAGATTTCCAGCTTAAACAAAAGGGAAATAGGACTGGGTACTCCACCTATTTTTTCCCGAAGAACAGACAAAGCAACCTCGGAGGAAGGTCCATGATCTGAGTTGATCTTTTTATTATCAATTTTTCCTTTATTGCTCTGAGAGGTGGTAAGTTTCCTAATTAAAAGTAATAATTACTTGATTGGTATTGGTACATATAAAGGAAAACCTGTACAGACACATGTACTCGTACAGTAAGCATAGGCTTAAGGTGTACAGATGGCAAGATCGAAAATATACTGCCAAAATACTAATAATATAACTTACTACGTCATCTGGAGAGTCCTTTTTACCTAAAGCAAATTTACCATCAGAATCTCGTTTTCTCACAGGAAAATTAAAGACTTTTGCATTATAAAATACCATTAATGTATATGGATGAACTTGTCCACCTTTTAAACTCTTACGAACCAGGAACATACCATCCTAATATTCAACAAAATTACTAAAGATAGCTTGCCAGGCAAAGTTATATACGTCCACTGGAAGCTTTGATTTTGAATAAAAATATTTAGCAGAACAGTAACAATCACCAAATATTCAACCTCCAGTCTTACACTTCTTTTGGACTTTTTGGGGCGATACTATATAATATTACCAAGTTTCGTCAAAATCTGTCAAGAATTGGGCCTTCTAGTGTGTTTACAGGCTAAAAAACTAGACCGACGGACTGCCATGGGTGACGACAATATACGCTCCACATTTCATGTGGGCGTATAAAAAATTATCTCTGGACATAAATGGCTTGATCATACATAAACCTTTCCTGTCATATTTTATGAGATTATTACCACTGTCATCATATGGTAAGTATGTGATATACAATGCACACCTGATCCAATTATTAAAATTGCATTTTTATGACTGTTTTTCTTTTGCTGACAGAGTCTTTCTAAAACAAGGGAACATCAATTTGTACCCAAGGTACTAATTGATATATATCAAAATGTACCCTGATGTACATGGAAGAAAGAACATCAGAGTAGCCTTCCCTTGGCTTATGGTCCTCTGCTCTAGAACGACTATCAGCGTTTTTTTCCCTTACTATTTAAGTTCAATAAATATTTGAACGGCATTTAGAAGCTGTGAGCACATATAACACAAAACACATAGGAATATATTATGGTATAACACACTCCTTTTATAACACAATCTAGACATGTTGTCATCAGATGGAATGAAGAAGATGGGGTAAACTTAAGAATATATAGTAAAATGAAGCAAAATTATCTTCATTGTTGTTTTGTCTTATGTCTTCCCTTTTGCTTATATTCTCATGGTTACTCCCTTTTCTTCATTTCATCTGATGACGGCACATGTAAATTGTTATTATTAAAGAAGTGTGTTATATCATAATTATATTCCTTTGTGGTTTTTTTTTTGTTACATTAAATACAGTAATATGATATTTACATGTTTATAATTTTTCAGTCTACTTTCTGCTATAGCTCTTTCTAAATCATTATGATACCATTCAAAAATACCCATTCTATCCTAGAAGAAAAACACATTCACTTTCTGTAAGATTCATGGGCTGGCAACTTAATTAACAAATACGAATTTCGATCTCAGAATAGGTTGGAATAGTACCAACCTATTTTTGAGCGCAGTTTCCCTTTCCATGCTGTGTTTAAGGGTCTTAGTCAGCCATTCTTGTCGCCGACTACAGTTTTGTCATACGTTTCACTGACCTTCTGATTGCACACTAGGAGTTTAAAAAATCATTACATAACATTATGTCATTTTCTTAAAGTCGTTTTCAATTATGTCAATCATCATTTGCAGATCATGCAATTGAAATGAAAATGAATCTGATTGGATGATGCGATAAAACAATAAAAAATAAATCCTGTCGGCAACCTGATAAACTTGTGGTTGAAGCCTTAAGCAACGACTTTAAGAAAATGACAAAATGTTATGTGACATCACATAGTAACAACTAATTCATGGAACGTAGGGGCTTATATAATGTAATAATGTGGCCATCAGAGTGACTGCTAGGGTTGAAAGGGTTTAACTAATTACCCCTTGATCAGGCTGTGAAATCTTCACGGTTGGTGTGTCTGGCTGAGAAGTTTTCCTGGTTGGTGTGTCTGTCTGAGAAGTCTTCCTGGTTTGTGTGTCTGTCTGAGAAGTCTTCCTGGTTGGTGTGTCTGGCTGAGATTTTTTTCTGGATGAAGATGCTGAAACTGTTTTGAAAAAATGTAGACAGTTAAGAAGAAGGAAAATTAGCTCAGAGTATGTTAAGGTTGTCATAAGTGTGGTGTTAGTGTGCAGGAAGTGTCAGATATCTTACAGTGAGAGCTATTCTTGCCAATAATCGCTGTTGAGATTGCCATGGAGTGTAACATAACATCCATCATAACATCTCCATGATCACAATAAAAGTAAAATGCACCAACCCATAGAATTTAATACAGACATGCATGTGGAACATAAATGGTGGAAAAATGAACTCAAAGCGTGTTAAGGTCATTTAGAGTGGTATTAGCATGCAGGAAGTGTCAGAAATTATATATATATATAGCCCTTGAGTGTGACTGATATAGAACTAGCGTTTTCTTCATGTTTCCTGCCGACCAAGTATATTTTTGGTCGCTGTAAGATCACAAGTAGTTGTACTCCTGTGTGACAGGGCTATTAAATATATTTTTTAAATAAGTTGTGACTTACTTGGGACTGGTGGTAAAAAGGTCTTACGACCTGCACTCTTTGTCTCTTTAGCTGTAGGGATGCTTGGTAATGGAGGTCTATTGCCATTATGAAATGTTGGTTTTGCCTCATCTTCTAAGAAAAGTAATCTTAAGTGGTAAGTTTCCAATTATGAACTTAATGACAAAGGTCAGTTTCAGACAATGATCCAATTTGCTACTTAAGCCCAATGCACACAACAGACTTTTTTCTGCTTAAGATTCTTTGAAGTCCGAACAAATGTTTCAAGTCTGTCGAGTGCGTGGAATATAAACATTTTCCGTCATCAACCAATGAACATGTACATGTAATATCTCATCGCATGAAATAATATTTGAATCTTGTGGTCACGTCAGACAAATTCATGTGACAATGCTGAGAAAAATGAACATTGTCCATAGTGTGCGGCCAATGAAAAATGAACATATAACAATGTTTTTTGTTTTCAACGGACAAAAATGTGACGTCTGCGCTAAGCTTTACTGAGCTATCGGTTTAAATTGGTGTCTTACATGCAGCTCTTCTGCATTTTGTTCAGCTAAAAACAATGAAAAATAATTCAGCGAGCTAATTTTGAAAATCCGACTGTTTTTTCTTTATCAAAGATATAACCAGATAAAGTTCATAAAACAAGGAAATTGTGCAGTGGATATTCATTCCAGTCAAATTACTAATACCCTTGACATTTCAGTTTTAGTTTTTACAGTTCACTCGCCACCAGAAATATATAATTACTTACCATCTGGATCTATATAAACATCCTGAAAAATAAACAATATTAAAGTGACAGTATGCACAAACTAGATCAACCTTTAATGTATCAAAAGTGCATGTACAAATCTGTACTATACATATTCACGACGCACAAGTTTACGGATGCGTAAACACCAAAAGGGGAACAAAAATTTTTGTTGTCAATTATTCATAACAAGGTGGCTCGCTTTTTTCCACCCAAATAAGGGTTTAATGGATCCGTACAAACTACAAGTGGTTGCCTATCAAGATACGCCCACTTTCCTGATACATTTTCAGTATATCAAGGGCAGTCACCTATCTGTAACAAATCATACCAAAAATCTAATTTGTGCAAGATTTTGTTGATTTAAACAAACACACATTATCTAATAAAATTCTGACATTAACTGTTACCTCTATCGTCAACAAATTTTGATGCGTCTACTCAGTCAAGGGCAATAACTCAAATTCCGTTAATCGAAAAATGTTTGGATTAATATCTCATCATTATAAATGATCATACAAAATTTCATTTAAATCAGATGAAAACTGTTCTGTCTATTGTGTTCACAAACAAATTTTGACGCATTTTTCATAAATCAAGGGCAATAACTCAAAAACTTTCATCGAAAGATCATCAACTTCGAATTTGTCTAAGATCTCATCATTATGATTGATCACACCAAATTTCATTTAAATTGGATGAAAATCGTGGTCTCCATTGTGTTCACAAACAAATTTTGACGCGTCAAGGGCAATAACTCAAAAACCAATCATCGAAAGATAGCCAAATTCAAACCTATTCAAGATCACATCATTATAAATATTCACACCAAATTTCATTTAAATTGGATGAAAACTGTAGTCTCTATTGTATTCACAACCAAATTTTGACGTGTTTTTCACAAGTCAAGGGCAATAACTAAAAAAAACATTCATCAAAAGATGGTCAATTTCGAATTTGTCTAAGATATCATGAATAGAAATTTCCAAATTTCATTCAAATCAGATAAAAACTGTTGTCTCTATTGCGTTCACAAGCTAATTGTGGACGGACGGACAGATGGACAGGGGCAACGACAATATACAACCACATTGTAATGTTGGAGTATAATAACAAAATACCATAAAACATAATATAATACTTACTTGATTATTTGGGTTATATTTGATATAACCTACAATAGAGAAATTATAAATTACACAGACAATGACCTATGCCTATCCACACAACCATCTGTAAACCCACCAAATTGATGAGAATGGTGTGAAATAAGGCTCGTACATGACATGCCTTAAATCATTCGAAATGGGACAGAATGACAAATCATGATTCGAAAATAGGAGTGAAACAGTGTGTGATTAGGAAAACCAATCTGCAAATATTCTCAATTCTTACAAAATCCTCTGGCCTGTTAAAGAGACTGTAAAAAGGTTTTCTAAATTTTGTATGTGTATCTGGGACACTGATAGCATCAATTTACATCATTCCAATTTGCAATCAGACTTCTGTGGTTCCTGCATTTCTATGAAAACTAAGTGTTTGAAAACGTCAGTTATTGCAAAATTGGTTTATCACAGAAGGCCCTTCGTGAATAGTGACGTCATCAAACACTTAATTTACAATCCCTTTAAACTAATGGAAGCGTTCTTTTGAGTCAGTCAACTCCATTCAATGGAAGTTCTGTAAGAAACACTTTCGCACAATTGCTTCAATCTTCAAAAATATCAAAGGGGAAAAACTCACCATCATCACTTGCTGGTATTGGTGGAGGATTTATTTTCTGTAAATAAAGAAATAAGTTATGTTAAAAAACACCTCTGTGGAGGTGTCATTGTAGCAAGACTCTCATGATGTGTCCAAGTGGGTTCTCAGGTGAAGATTTTTGAATGGAATTGATTTGGTACATTCGGACATATTCGTACATATTTTGGGCCAAATACGTGCCAATTGGGGGTGCCAACCATGTATGTAGGATACAATTAAATATGGTCATCAAGTATTTCACCCTGTAATCAAAAAATGCACTATTAATTTTGAATATGATCCATGACAATTTCTGCATTGACACATTTTTCACAATGTTTTTCACAATAACCAAAATTGACGTCTGACAAAAGAAATTTATACATTATTATTTTCCTAGTTTTTCCGCAAAAATATCGAATGTAAACTTACTGGTATTGAACTTCTTCTTTTCCTATCAGCTTCAATTTGATCCAAATTTAAGTACTCTTGTTCAACCTGAAATAAAAGATGTCTTATCTATATATGGTAGTGTCTGCAAAAGACAACTCATCTTTTTAACATTCATGCAGAAAATTCTTGACACACATGGATTTGAAGGCTCAAATTTCGATAGTGAGCTGTGAACATTACTACTGATTGGCTTAGCTAAATAATACCTGTTCCTGAGACTAAAGTACGATTGGTTAAAAAAATGGCACTTCTATCCCTTTAATAGAGTGGGGTGTGACTAGTTAATAGAGTGGTGTGTGACTAGTTAATAGAGTTGTGTGTGACTAGTTAATAGAGTGGTGTGTGACTAGTTAATAGAGTTGTGTGTGACTAGTTAATGGAGTGGTGTGTGACTAGTTAATAGAGTGGTGTGTGACTTGTTAATAGAGTGGCGTGTGACTAGTTAATAGAGTGGGGTATGACTAGTTAATAGAGTGGGGTGTGACTAGTTAATAGAGTTGTGTGTGACTAGTTAATAGAGTGGTGTGTGACTAGTTAATAGAGTGGGGTATGACTAGTTAATAGAGTGGTGTGTGACTAGTTAATAGAGTGGTGTGTGACTAGTTAATAGAGTGGAGTGTGACTAGTTAATAGAGTGGTGTGTGACTAGTTAATAGAGTGGTGTGTGACTAGTTAATAGAGTGGTACTCACAAAATCTGGAGAATCTGGTGGTGGAGGTGGAGGGGCACGTCTTGGTTTACTTTGTGTTTGTTTATCAGGATCTTCATAATATTCATCAACTACTATATTTTAAAATTTGTTACAAAATGTTAGACACTTTCGTTTATTAAAATGTTGATGTCTTTCATTACACTGGACAAAATGTTCACCTGAATTCAGTTAAGACTGAATCTATCATTCTGAATCATTGACATACTTATTAAGCATCATAAACTTTGTGGGATACTGAAGGAACATAAATACTAGGAGATAGAGCTGGGCGATATACTGGTATCACGATAATTACCGGTATAGGAATTTATATTGTTAATAATATTGCTGGATTAAAAAATACCGAAATATCACAATATCGTGATATATAGTAATTATCATGATATATAGTAAAATTTTTGTCCAGATAAGATCATCTACAAATTAACAAGTAACTTAATATTTGAAACAGATGTTTTTTTTCATGATATTCAAGACTGGGGTGTTTTTAGAGATATTTATTGTTTTATGTTACATACAAAATTTCTAGATCATAATTTTGTTTCAAAAACCATTCAAAAACAAACTTCAAAAATATTGCAATATATACCCATATCGTGATATATTAATGCTTAATATCATGATATCAACTTGAACCTATATCGCCCAGCCCTACTAGGAGATAAGCAAAACATGGAATTCAAATCTATGGTTTATGGATCATATTTACCTGGAGGTTTTGGAATGCTTTTTTTGCTCTTTACTGAAAATATAATGGATTGATTGTAAATTGTTATTGTTTATGGTCCAATTTCAGGATGTTACCATAGAGGACACAAAGAAGTTTTTTTCTTATTAGAACTTTTGTAGAAGCATTATCATAATTTTATTAAAAGTAAATAGGCTGACAAACCCATTTGTAGCAGAATGACATCAGGTGTTTAGGTAGATCAATACTATTGTCAGTTGATATTGAGCTCAGTCAGTGGATTAGCTCAGATGGTAACAAGTTGGGTTGTCATCTGCTTAAATGCAAAAGTTTTGTATCCTCCTAAATGTAAGAGAAATTCTAATGCCACAACCAGTACCTTCAAGAGTTGGTCTGGTGTCTGCTCTCAACTCTTTCACCTATCAACAAGAAGATAAATAACTATACTAAATCTCTCATTTTGATATCAATGTGATAAAAGAGGTTACCTGTAGGAATTTTTTGACCAGGTAGTAGAGGTGCAGCAGTAGGTGGTGGTATAGGTTTTGGTGGTCTCTGTACAGGTGTACTTGCTGGAGGTCTTTGTGGTCCTGCTTCAGGTTCTATAATAGAAAGCAAATATAATTATGATGGCATTGTATCAAATGAAACTTCTTTCTTGATTCCAGCTACAGAATTTACAGACAGACAATAACATTTCCTTTTTTGCACCTATATTTGGCTGTGATGGCTAGCTTCAAACCTTAAGTCATTTTTAGGTATTTCCAATATCAGTAAATTTCTTGTTAAAGGGGCAAATGCGCCATTTTTTTCAGCAATCATAATTTAGTCTAAGAAATGGGAATTTTTAGCTAAGCCAATCAGAAAGTGTTCACAGCACACCATCAAAATTAGACCCTTTAAATCCATCTGTGTCCAGAATTATTCACATTTGAAAGTTAAAACGAGAAGCCATCTTTTTTTTTTGAGACACTGCCATACATACAAAAGACGTATATAGAAATCGGAAAATAAATTCCTAGTTTAAGATACTTCTGAAGACTATTCATCCAAATCAAACCATGAAAAAGGCGAACATAATAAATTTTTATTTTTTTCAATTATTGTAATATGATAACAAATTTTATATAACACGTATTTAACATTTTTACACGAAAGAAATATAGAAGGATAACAACAACTGTTTTGTCCTTGGCACCTTTTTAACAGATTGTCCCTGCCCATATATAGCTGGATGAAAGAAAGAAAAGAAAGGAACTATATTTACAAGGATAACAACTTAGGTTTCTGAGAATCCTTTATACCAGCTGGTCCTTGGCCAAAACTCTTGGCATTGATCTTTCCCAGATTATCCGTACCCATTTACAGTTGGGTGAAATAATGAAGAAAGATGCCTGATTTTCACACGGCCACAGAAGTTACAATCCATTTCAAACATATTCGATGTCCACCAATATTTATGGCCCACAACGCTATAATTTAACTATTAACACACGTAGTAGGATTGGTTGTTTATATATTGACAGCAAGGGCAGCAGAAATTGTCGAGATAATTATGCTAGAGGCAGACGATTGTATTTTATGGCAGGATCGCTGCTAATTTCAAAATCGCTCAAAATATTTGCATGTGTATCCTCTCATTGTCAACGACGATGTTTTAGATCCATACGAATCGCTGGCATAAAAGATTTTAGAAATTTTAGGCCTAGTATTTTCGGCATATCATTTATGGCGGCAATCAAATTTGCCCGTGTATTATATCAGGTGATTGATATTTTCAAACCAATCGGACATGAAGTTCAAAAATAGCTGCCTTTGCCTTTTTGCACCGATCACACAATCAACGGGAAAAAAAATGCCAGCTGATATGATACACTCTTAAAAGTTCCCTTCTTGTTGCTCGTTGGCACTTTGATTCATCATGATCAGGTCAAAAATAACGCTCTTCTGCCCCTAGCATTAGGAATCAAATAGCATGAAAGATAATTCTAGTTGCCAGACATTTAGAAAAGAAAGAACTATATTTTACAAGGATAACAAGTTAGGTTCACAGTTAAGGATCCTTTGTACCAGCTGGTCCTTGGCCAAACATTTTCAACCGTACCCATTTACAGCTGGTCGACTGGAATTATGAGTGAAGATGACTTATTCAAGGTCATCTGACTATCACACTATCATCAAGAATTGAACCTACAGCGGCCATTTGCTCAAAGTAAACATGCAAATGACATCATGTAAAGAATCAACGTTCTAACCGACTGTGTTATTTTAATTTGAAACCTTAGCAAAGCTGAATGTTTCTTATTTCAACTTTATTTATATTCTGTTGCCAAGATGGATGGTAGTTACTCACAGAAACAGTGACATTATTAGGTTCAAATAGTTTGAAATACAGTAATCTGGCAATTTGTAGATCTTTAATAAAAAAAATTTTGATCTTAACACCTCAATATTTATTCAAATATTACAATAATCTTATAATAAATTGGTTTGAGAGCTGAAAGGGTTACCTGTATCCCTTTTCAGAATGAGAATCTCTTGCAATTAAATAATTATAGATCGCTGTAGTTTAAGTCAGGGATGTTAGCTTAGTTTACTTCCAATGGACTGAATAATTTCTCTACTTAACCTTTTAGACATAATTTCATATGATCCTGAGCTCTGAGCTTTAAAAGCTGAATCTAAAGATGGTATTGCTATGCAATGTGACGTCACTTTTAATGGCCACATAATAGGCAATTCATGAATATATTGCACAGTTTTGTCGCTAAAGGGGCCACAGTTGGTGTTCAAACATTGAACATAAAAAAGTTAAAGGGACATTCTGCATTTTGGTAAATTCATAATCAAAAACGTTGTAAATTATACAACTTCCAAAAAGCAAAACAAACTTAAAAACCTTACGTAATGTTTTTTTTAAATATTTTTGACGTTAAAAAATTAATGGCGGGGTTTTTTTAGTTAAAACTTTCAGATATGTTAAAGGGCACATTTCTCTAGATTTTGTTGTATAATTTTCACAAATTTGAGCAAAAAAATTTGTTGACCCACCAAAAAAAAACGGAATGTCCCTTTAAAGAAATTATATTAGTGGTCTGGGAATTTTCTCATTCTGAAAAGAGTTACAGGTTGGAGAATTGAAGCTATATATAAGGAGCCACAGCAATTGTCCTTAACCTATGTTACCTGTCTTATATACAGGCCTTAAATAACCTGCTTCAGAATCTGGTGCTTGATCTGTAAACAAAGACATTAATATTCCATACTTATACAAGCAAAATTGAGTAAATACAATACATTGGTGGCATCCTCCAAAGAGATTCAAAGGCAACTGATAAGAAACCACAATGTAGTACATCTGAACTATAACCTCTCTACTGTGAGCTTTCTTAATCTGAACTTTAATCTCTCTGAATATGAATCTTGATCTCTCTGAATATGAATCTTGATCTATCTAAATTTGATCTTTCTTCTCCAAATTTGACTATTGATCTCTGTACATCTGAATTTTGATTTCTCTAAATCTGAATTTACATTTCTCTATATCTAAACTTTGATCTCTCTATATCTACATTTTGATCTCTCTATATCTCAACTATGACCTTTCAACATCTACATTTTAATCTCTCTACATCTGAACTTTAATCTCTCTATATCTGACACCTTTATTCTCTCTACATCTGAATTTCAATCTCACTACATCTGAACATTTATCTCTCTATATCTAAACTTTAATCTCTCTAAATCAAAACTATGATTATACATCTGAATTTATATCTCTCGTAATCTGAGATTTAACTGGACTTTGATATCTGATTTTTTATCTCTCTATATACTTAGCCTTGACCTGAATTTCGATTGCTCTTAATTTGTCTCTGAATGTCTATATCAAAATGTTGATCTTTTTATATCTGAATTTTGATATGTCTACATCTAACTTTTAATTTATCTTTATCTAGTCTTTGATCTCTCTATACATAAATTTCAACCCTTCTGTCTTGTAATATAAGATCACCACAAAACAGTAAGCACAAACTTTAGTCCACTGAAGTCCTCTGATGTGAAGTGACATTGCCATGGTTAAAACCAGACTCAAAAGGTCACATTTTATGGGAGTTGTCCATTTTTGAAACACTAGTTTTGGGAAATATTTTCACCATGACAAAAGCAAAAATTGGCAGAACTTTTGGTATCGATACAAAGCTATGAATCCATCAAGGCATTTTCAGATATTCTACATTGTCCCTCTACCGATACAACAATACAGTAGAGGTGTAGGCCTAACTTACTGAAGTTGTACGAAAAAGGGATTCCTTAATATCTGGGTATTATTTCAGTTAAGCATTATTTAGAGAATTACAACCGTGTTTTCATTGAAGGGAAAAGCCAGCTTTAATCTAAGTTTAAAGGGGCATTCTGCTGTTTTCAATCAGTTTTTGTGGTTGGGGAGTTGAAATATATAACACTGCAATCAGTATAGAAACTATACAAAGGGCTGCAAATATAATGTCATGCATAATAAACCCAGTTTACAAGTTGAAATTAAAGAGAATGCTGTTTTAAAACGTTTCCAGAAGCACAAATCTCTCGTTTGGAGCTCAGCAATCTATTGCGGATGAATAAACCCTTGCTGAATGTTATCTTTACTTTATCTAATGAAAACCCTTTCAGCAATGGTATAGTGGTTAAATCACAGTAAACAACTTGTTTATTAAAACACAGATCATAATGATTTTTGTACATTCTGATCTATGAATTTTATCAAACCATAGGTTAAAATAGATTATGTTAGAACAAGATGAACACCTGTGAAAACAAAATTCAGATCTGTGTTCTTTCTGCATTTGAATCAAATTGCCGTCTATGATCTGAAAAAACTGTGATGCAACATTTGTTCTAGGTCATAAAATATTCATCCAATCAAATGCTCTGTTATTAATAGATTTACTGATATTGAATATGTCAGAAGTTTTCCGTGTTTAACATAAAACTTAATTTTTACTCCACTTTGAACAGTTTGATTACAAATTTACTGAACATGACTTACAGAAGAATTTCGTCAGATCATGGCGAGTGTAGTAGAAAAAAAAATTGCAATTTAATCAAACTTTAACAATATGGCTTGCTTGAGGCTAGCCTAAAGCCTGCGTTACTTAACAATTTTTAGGAGAAAACACAACAAATAGAAGATACATGAAACAAACAATCACCTGTAGAGTCCTGTTGGAAGCGAGTTGGTGAATGACTTCGACTAGCTTGGAATTCTAATAATGCTGCTTTTAATGATGATACTAAAGGCATTTCTGAACTATTTTGTGGTTCCTCGTATAGTTCTTCATCTTTCTGCTTAAGTTCAAAATGATAAATAAACTTAATGAGTCCATAGTTTTTCTTGAAATAAAAGGCAAGTACCATTTCTAGTAGGCCCTACAAGGGGATTGACTCTGTCTATAAGTTAACAAAGAATTTGCTCATCCAATGTCATTATAGTTTTTAGCTATATAATATTCTATATATAAAGAATTTTCAGACATAATGGTGATTAGGTGCCAATACGGTTAAACATCCTTAAAGATGGGTTTCCTTTTTTTTTTTTTTTTAATGTAAAATTAAGCAAACTAACTATGGTGTTTCTAATGAATTATCATGTATTCTTATTCATATCATTATGTTCTTATTGCATATAATTAAGAATTTAAACCAATCATGAATGTCCATGTATCTACAGTCTGGATAAACGAACAAAATGACTTTTTGACCTTTCTTGATCGGTCACTCATTGGAATTCTGCTGGTAATTCTCTTCTAATTTAGCTAATTGCTTTTTTTAATTAATTATGGACATGTGACACAAACTGGTATTTTTCCAAGTCATTACAACACCTCTACTTTCTATTCATATAAGTGTTAGCATTTTCATTTTCATTCATGAAAATAAGGGAACCCATCTTTAAAGTATAGATCTATTTTGATATCAAGTGCATGAGATTTATCAGCTTGTACAAAATTTTAAAATTCAGAGGGCAATATGTGTATGTTGTATTCATGGAATTATTACTTCAAAAAGTCAAAATCAGAATTATTAATCAGAATTATTACTTTCAAAAATCAAAATCAGAATTAATACTTCAAAGAGTCAAAATCTGAATTATTACTTCAAAAATTTTTTAAACAATAATAATCACTTGGAAATAACATAAATTTTACAAATCAAATAAAATGTGCAGGAGGGTTTTTAAGGATTTCATGCGATAAAGGAATTAAGGTTTATAGGGGAAGAGATATGTTGAGTGTCAAGGCACGGACACAAAATGCTCTTTTAATAAATATGCCAAACAATTTTGACATGTTTTCAACCCATATCAGTGGCAAATAGACGTTGCTTTGCTCTTTACCATATAAAGATATTCTATATAATTTTTCATTGCCTACATTAAATTCTGAATGTGATGAGGTAATTTTCTGTGTGAAATTGACTTTGGAACGAGGATGTCTGTGGCAGAATCAAGAAAACTGACTTGTTCATTTGTTGTCCAATGGTCAGAGAAGCATTGGAGTTCCGAACAAACAAAATTTCTGTGATGTACATAAGCAACAAAACACAATTACAAGATGGTGTCTTGTATTAAAGGGACAGATGCAGCATTTTTTGGACCAATCATACTTTAGTCTCAGAAACTTGATTTTTTTAGCTTAGTAATAGTGTTTATAGTTCACTATCGAAATTTGAGCCTTCAAATCCATGTGTGTCTATAATTATCTCGTTTGAATGTTAAAAGGATGACTAATTTCTAGTACTTCTAAAGACTATTTACATATATTCAAGATCCAAATCAACCCCCAAAAATGGTAGATCTGTACTTTTAAGCTCTATTTCACATTTTTGAAGAGTTAATAATTTAAGTATATAACGAGATTCCAAATGGCTTTTTCTTTTAAAATATAACTGCTATTTGCACTATTTACAAACTGAAATCTATGTTTCTTGCTGATTTTACCACCTTAGATATAGTGCAGTCATTGTAGAACTACATGGGAAAGTGGTAATGTTTCAAGTGACAGTGCAGTAATTCTAGAACTACGTGGGAAATGAGAAATCTTGTACAAGCTTAGACCTTTTCCAGACAGTACCTTGAAATGAGATGTTTAGTGAGGAAGTAGACCTATGAAGGAAAAGATGGTGAATTCAGGATGACACCCATGCAGGAGGTTTTGGAAGGTACATACAGTATCACTTCATGCAGTAGGGAACTAAAAATAGTTTGTAACTCACAGTATTAGAGACTAACTCTCCATTGTCAATATCTACAAACGAGACAAGTACTAAATATGATAGATTTCTTTTTCATACAAACATCATCATCAACATTTACAAGTTTAATGATCTGTAACCATGGCAACCATCACTTTGCATTAAAGGGGTATTCTGCTTTTTTTTTTTAAAGTTTTCATTATCAAAAACGTTATAAATTATACCTGAAAATATTTCTAAAGTATGCTATTAATATCTATTTATCTACTTGATCAAACTGAATTTGTTTTAAAAGGATTAATTAAAAACAGAGAGTATATACTAATTGTTAATTAAGCAGTTTGATCTAGTTTTGGTGTTAGGCTTTTTAAATGGATGATATTATTAGTTGAAGTTATTAGTAAGAATACGTAGGAGACATATTTCTCTACAATTAGGCGTTTATTTTACCCAATTTCGTACAACAGTTTTCTAACAGCTTCTAAAAAGTATAACGAACTTAAAAACCTTACGTAATGTTTGTAAATATTTTGGGCGTTTAAATATTAATAGCTGGATTTTTTTAGTTAAAACTTTCAGATCCATGAAAGGCACATTTCTCGAGATTGGATGCTTATGCACATGAAGCCATTATTTGTTAAATAATGGAAGGCTCATTATGTCAATATAGAAACATGTGATCACGAGCAAAAACTGTGTAGGTCTAGAAAAATGGAATCCATGCGTTCTTGCTTCTGTAACAATTACATTATATCAATCTGTTTATTCAATTGTAGACTTACTCAACACCACATATTTTATTCTGAACAGTGATAGTGGGGCTGTTTGTCAACAGATAATGGACAACATATTCTCATTCTACAATATTACCCATGATTCCCTGAGGACATTTTCTTAAATTAAATCAATTTCTGATCCGGATATACAAAACAATTTCCAATACAAAATATACAAAAAAAAATTCTGATACAAAATATACAAAACAATTTTACGATACAAAATATACAAAACAATTTTCTCATACAAAATATACAAAACAATTTTCCCATGCAAATATACAAAACAATTTTCCGATAAACACGACAAATTACAAATCAAGGAAAAGGTCAAAACTTATAAGATTGCATGTCTTGAGATCTATAATATGGGTCCTTACGAAGCCTAAGTCTTAAACTTTGGAAAATAAAAAGGGAATATAACACACTAATCAATCCAATGTATATATGTATACACATTTTGGGCATAATTAAGATGTGAAAATCTGAAATCTTTTTTTTTTCACCAATAGCACACTTCATTATCTAATTGTCAATGAAGTCAGTTATGTTTTTCATTGCAATTTCAAGTAGTAACTACCCTTACCGTAGCCATCATAATAAACTATAGCAGATACCATAGTTTTAATTTTCAAAAAAAAATTTTTTTTTTTTGGTCAAATTTAGCATAAGGCATTTGATGTAGTAAACTACTGTAAAGGCCCGGTCATGACAAAATTTAAAACCTTTTTAATACACTACCAAAAATAACAGTTTCTCTTCATATTTCTTACAATTGTGGTTAAAATTTGTTTTGGGTGAATCCTAGCATTGATAATGGATTGATCAACTTATCTGTTAAAAATATGATAGGGTCATTAGTAAGGCTGGTTGAAATGATCGAAATAACTGATTATCACTAGGAATTTATAATTTCGATTATCGATTATCAAATTTCATAATCTATTATATGTCAAAGTTACCTTCCACTGTACCTGTTAACAAGTAGTAATCTCTTCAGCACATAACATACCCACAATAAACTATAATAACTGATCAAAGCAAGAATATACTTCTGTGACACAAAAATAACCCATGAAATTAAGAATTTTGGCATGTTTTTAATTTAGTATTTACAGGGTTTCTCAATTAACTTATTTTGATTATTAATCAATTATTGATAGGTAGTCTGTCTTCGATAATTGATCTAAATTTTTTAATCGATATCCAGCCCTAGTCATTAGATTTCAAACAGTTTTACTAACAAATTCTGAATTCTCACATTATGCCATACTAGTAATTCAGTTAAAGGACTGACATCTGTAATTTAGTCTTGACCAAAAAAAAACAATTTAATTTCAGCTGACTGAAACTCTTTTCAAAATGACAATTTGACATCTAGTTTGTTTACCATTAGTTAAGAACTCACTTCTTGACTAGAAGGGGCATTATCAACTGAAATTCCCTTATAATATTTTTCATCCATTTTAAGTTCAAAAATGTTAAACTTTAAATCCACTTACCTACATAATTTTCATCATCATCATCATCATCATTATTACCTCCCTTGCCTCCATCATCATCCTATCAATACAATATTATAAACTAAAACTGACTTTCAAGGTGACCTTTTCTGAATTTTCTCCAAATCAAAATGGTTGACAGTTGGTCAGGAAAATTTGAAAAAATTAAATGAATGGAGTTTTAAGTCCTACTTTTCTGCACCATGTGGGCTAATGAAGACTGGCAACGCCATGCAATGAGAATAATTTTGCCAGGACAGTGGCATTGGCCTGCACCTTTTCGATTTCCAAGGATCCAAGGATCTTTAACGTGTACAACCTGTAGCACACGGAGCCTCAGTTTAAGGAAAATTTGAATAAATCTAAATTGTCATTTGATCTTTAAGAATTTGATAAAATATTTCCTTGAGAGATGATATAAAACCCACAGTATCTATTCAAAACTCATGCTGAACCACAGCAGCACAGACTGGGGTGGTTTGATTCAAATTTATCTGAACCTAGAAGTTGTCAAATCACCATGGTAACACAAAATGGTACATCCAAAGATAACTTACTGAAAATTCATCTCCCCAACTGTAGATTGAATCATCTGAACCAGAATCATAACCTAAGGAAAGAAAATAAACAATGTCAATCTGAAGAAATAATTTGCTGAAAATGTGTGTTTCACAAAAAATAGCGATGCCATCGTAATACGCCCACATTTGTAATGGCAGCTAATTTGTCTGGGAGGTTGACAAGAGTTATTAATAAATGAATGTTTCTGAGAGTGAAATTTTCATATTTCATGGGTTTTGTTTACAGCTTACAATTCAAGAACAAGGGCAATAACTCATAGTAAATATTTTTCGATTCGTCTGATTTTCAATAGGGTTCATTCTTGGGTGATTACAAACACTCACACCAAGTTTCATCAAAATCCATCTAGTAACCAGCTCTCTATTGTGTCCACAAACAATTGTGGATTGACTGTAGATATTTTTGCATTTTAATATAGTTAAACCTATCATTATTGTCAGAAAAGTGGGACGTCACAAAACAGCATTACAACTTCTGTCAATTAACTTTAAGCCCCGCCCCTGTGTTGCTAGGCTGACGATGAAGTATAAATGCACAATACAAATAAAATAGTGAGAGGTTTATTGAACCCTCTTATTACAAACCAATGAAAAAAACATTAGAAAGTTTATCTGTAAGAGAAACAAATAACTTAAATAATCAACTGAGATTTGTTCCTTCGCCTTGTCTATTTTTAGTTGAAAGTTTTTGTGTATTCATACGCCGCATCCCACGTTGTCATAGGAGATGACATCATTACGGCATCATTACATCATCGGACACCACTAAGGAAATTTGTAGTTCATTGGTAGATGTGTGCAAATTTTTCACATGGGTTCACTGTAGCATGTGACAATAAAATCTATTATTAGCAATCTGTTGTTGTATCGTACTTGAATAACTTAAAGAGAAGCCAATTATAATCTTAGAAGAAAGTAGGTGGAGCTTAGCTATGGTACAACATGTTAATTTTGATGCGATTGCACGGGTGAAGCTCCACCCCTTTTTTGAAAGATATCTCGGACAAGCTTCTAAAGTCTAAACGCATTTAGATATGCTACAATTAGTATAAATCACGATTAACTCTGTGAATGTATAGAGGAAGTGAATGAAGTTTTCTGCAACAAACTTAACTCACCATTCTTAGAATTAGATGATGACTGTTTTTGTGGAGGTGGATTCCATCTGAAATAAAATATTTCAATTTCTAACAAAAAATATAATAAAATCTCATCCTTTATCATGACTTACCATACTACAGACTTTCCTTGGTAAAAGTCAAAATTTACTTACAATTCAAGAGAAATATCTTTCAGTATTCAACCTTGGCATTGGTCTAGATTTTTCAGATTTGACAGGCAGGGTATGCTTATTCTTCTAGACACCCGATACCACTTTTCATTATGAAATACTAACTAAATTATAATTGATATACTTCCTCATGTGAAAAGTTCATTAGCTGCTACTAATGTTTTGTCACTATGATGTTTTTGGATTTCAGGTTTCGTTTTGCAGTTAGGATTGTTAATACTTGGTTTATTTAGAGAAAAATGGCTAATGCAATTGTATTTGCAAAATGTCCCACATTGCACACTGTAAAGCATTGCCTATCTTCTTCTACCCAATCAAATTTTTAAAAAAGTAGGACTCCATTTCATTGGAATCACTGAGATCATATATACACTGATGTACTTTTCATGTCAGCACTAAGCTTTCCAGGATGGCTGATAAAACTAGAAATGCAAGAGAACTTACGCTCGAGATTGTACATTCTTTGGCTTCTTAATGGTAAGTATATAATTCTGTAACTCTCTACAAAAAAAATAAAAAAAGACATAAAAATTAAACACATGGTTGCAAAAATTTAGTCAGCCAAACACTTGATCTGACTTGACTTCAAGGGCAAATGTAGTTGTAATGGTGAAGTCATAATCTTGACACATTTTTCCTACAATTACATGAACCACAGACAGGAAATCTGTAAGGTACAAATGGAAGCCAGAAGTGTACCACTTCAGCCAGAAAAATTAAATGAAATGAATGGAGTTTTACGTCCTACTTTTCTGCACCATGTGGGCTGATGAAGACAGACAACGCCATGCATTGCAAGGTGCAATGAGGGAATTTGCCAGGACAGCGGCATTAGCCTGCTCTTTTTCGGTTTATTGTCCCATCCAAACGACTAGACGCTTTTTCCATGTCAGCCCTTCTTACCTGCATCACTGACAGGGGGAACCGGGTTGAAAAATCCCAAGAAGGTATTATCTCGACCAATGCCAGGATTGAACCCTGGACCTTCAGGTTAGTGAGCAAGCGTCTAACTCGCTGAGCCACCGCGGTTCCCTTCACTTCAGCCAGAAAACCCTTTTGAAAACTAACGTTTGGTTGCTATGGAGCTAACAGTCTCATCAATGGAGATTAGATCACCATGTTTCTGTACACATGAAAGCTCAAATTGAATGAAACCAAAGAAAGATGTTTTGTAAATACTTACACTTTCTTTTTAGTTTTTCCAACAAAATTATTAACATCGAATTCTGACAGAGACTGAAATAATCAAAGAAATATAATAAAAGTTTATATTTCTGGTGAAATTTTGTACCCTGCATTAATTTGATGATTAACCCTTTTAACTCTAGCGGCCTGTTACCGGCTACACAATTACACAATATATACCTGAGCAGCCGGTAAACCAGCCAGTAAATCTGTCATTACCAAGTGACATCACAGAACAATAACGTCATAAGCTTTTACTTATATTAAGGAGAGTTAAGGGTAGGCTCCTATATGACGTTTAATTTGATTTACACTCCGAGTTTAAAGGGTTAACTACAGCATACAGTATACATAAGACTTTCATATGATCGCAGCTCTTTAATTTGATGCCATTTTCATTCATTGTAGACTGTCTAGGGCATCAACTACATGTATTGCATAAACTCATGTAGAAACATGCTGTTAAGAAAATGTAAAGAATCAAAATAAGGAGAGATTGATATGATACTTACTGCTAACTTGTTTCCATCAATATTATGTTTAGTAACATGATCTTTAAATTCACCTAGGCCAGCCTAGATATAATACAGATAAAAACATAACAGATGAATGAATGAATGAATGAATGAATGAATGAATGAAGGAAGGAATGAAGGAATGAAGGAAGGAAGGAAGGAAGGAAGCAAGGAAGGAAGGAAGGAAGGAAGCAAGCAAGCAAGCAGGAAGGAAGCAATGAATGAATGAATGAATGAATGAATGAATGAATGAGCGAAGGAACGAATGAAGGAACGAATGAAGGAACAAATAAAGGAACAAATGAATGAATGAATAAATGAATAAGTGAATGAATAACTGAATGAATAACTGAATGAATAACTGAATGAAATATAAGCAGATGAGGAAAATGAATGATAGAAATATGTTATGAATGATACAATTACTAACAGATATTGGGTGGTTTTCCTGATATCTTTTGACACTGTATCAGCCTACTTCCTGGTTACTATCATGATAGTCCTAAAAGTGTACTTGGCCTAATGGCCTGTGATAATTATCAGTTGGGTTAGCTTGATAAAGATTATTTCCTGATGACTGTTACAATAGGTCTAACTTTTGTGCTAACCTTCAATTTTGATGGTAAATTTTTTTTTTCAAAAATAGGGCAACAAAAATTTGAATTTTAGAGATTCTTTTCATTAAAAGTAGTAGTTAAAAATTTGTTTTACCAATTTATGGAGCTGAGATACAATTTTTAGTTATCGCTTATATGTGGTTTTCATCCTTTCAAGGGACAGATGCACCATTTTTGGGGGTTGATTTTAGTCTTGAATATATGTAAATAGCCTTCAGAAGTACTAGAAATGTATGATGATCACATAATTCCTTTAAATATTCAAATATGGATAATTCTGGACACACATGGATGTGTAGGTTAAATTTAGACAGTGAGCTGTGAACACTATTATGGTATCTGAGACTAGTATGATTACGCACCTGTCCCTTTAACAATTCAAACCCTTTAAAGTAATTCGAAAACTTTTCACTTTTCAATCAATAACTCATTATAGTACAGTTTACAAGGTTTTACTGTTTTCATACGCAGAAAAATAGATATTTTACAAGGCATTGAAACTGACTTCAATATGGATGGTTATTTTTTTGGTGATTTTAGGTTATTTACAATCTTCCAAGCTACAAATAAGAGGTTTTGATCCCAAGATCTGCTCTTTCACAAGCTTTCAAACAATCATAAGAGTGAAAATGTCCATAAAATATGGCATATAAAAGAGTTTTCAAGTGGTGACCCACTATATGTCTCCTGTTAATTCTGAAGATTTCAACAAAAAATATCGAGCCATTATAAAGTTCAATACCAACACAAGTTTAAAATGCTTAATCAACAATTAGTACACTTCATCTTTTATGTAACACTTTTAAAACAAATTCAGTTTGATCAAGTAGATAAATAGATATAAATAGCATACTTTAGAAATATTTTCTCGTTCAATAATGAATATTTTGCATACTGCCCATATAAACCAATTTTCTTAAATATAGCCTTTTATATTCTTATATGACCATTTTTTTAGTGTTCAATTAATTTAATGTTAATATTTTGTATGCCCTATGAATTTATATAATATTTGTCCTACAATAACAAAATATTTTCACTCTTAAAATAGTGCATGGATACATCAATTGTAGACCGATAAAGAAATATATTCTAGATTGTTTCGCGAAGAAGACACTGTTGATTTCAGATATTTTTTTTCTATCATGCTACAGAATGTTTTGATTCAGATCTTATATGTCTAGAATGGAGGTAAAATTTTATCATTTTTTCCGCTTTTAAGAGATTGTAAAGAGGTTATCTAAATTTAAATTTTTTATGTGTATCAGGGACACTGATAGTATCAATTTGCAGCATTCCAATTTTCAAACAGATGTCTGTGGTTCCTGCAAATAAGTCACATGAAGCCTTATCAGTGTCCCTGATACACATAAAAATTTTAGATAACCTCCTTACAATCCCTTTAAAACAGAAAAACTGCTTAAATTTTAACTCCATTTTAGACATATAAGAACATGTCTAACTGTAGCCCTACATCAGAAAACTGAAATCAATTTCAAATTTTGCATTGCTTGAGGGCAATATAAGATATATTCTACTGATATACATTCAATTCTATATATATAACAATATAACAATATGAATGCATATTAGGCCTACATTACAATATAACAAAACTTTTCACATACAAACACCTATTAATTCTTACCTCTTTAAGCCATTCTACAACATCTTTAACTGTCCATCTAACAATGGTTTCATAGGGGGGCAACGATTTAGGCATTTTCTTCCAAAAATAATGATTGAAAGCTTGACAAGACACTTTCAACCAAAGTTTTAAAATTCCTTATTTTCTTCCTGGTTCAGGTTCAAGAGTTGCGTCCCTTTAGTCTTCTAAAGGTCCTGATACACAATAACTCAATTCGTGATAAGGGGCCCACTTGTTTCGCCTTTTGTGTAGGATATGAAAAAGGAAGTTCCGAGTAGGTGGAATGAATTTACGTATTTAACATTATTTACAGACAGTCCATTATTTCTCTATTAGATAAAGATCCTGTATTTCATTAGGTAATATCTAATATTAGACTAATAATGATATACGCCTTAATATAATCTGCTGAAGTGTACGGGGCGGTAACTTCTCAACCTCTCCAAATCAGATCAAAACTGTAGCCTCTTTCTTCTCACAGTCCAATTTGGCAAGAAAAACAGAAATATTTGAAAAATCATCCACCTATAATTTGCGAGCATTCATTGTGTTTAAGGTTCAGAGGCGTTTCTACGGATGGAGGAATGAAAAAATGCTGACCCGGCTTGCCCCCCCCCCCCCCTTAATATTAAGATTAAGCGTTTTTCAATAATTACTTAGTTTTATGAATTTTCCAATTTTCTAGATTTTACAGGGATTCTGTTGTAACTTTATGACACCAGGTAAGTTCACTGATGAATATATACTCATATTGACCATCTTGAGAATTTAAATCTTATTTTCATTCTAAGACGTAGTATCACTTTAAGCTAATCAGTAATAGTGTTCACAGTGTGTCCAGAATTAATTTAGAATGACGACTCATCTTTTCTTGAGACTCTGTCATATAAAGAAGATATATATATAGAAATAGAAAGTGAAATTCCTATTTTTGGTGGGATTAAGCCATTTTTTGTAAATTTCCAGTACTGAAGACTATTTACATATATACAAGGCCCAAATCAATCCCCGAAAATGGCGAATCTGTTCCTCTAAGTTTTTCATATTCAAAATTCCCGGACTATGATCCTATAAAAATCAACCAAACAAGGTATAGCGAATCCATCTTATTCATTAAAAATCAAGCAACATAGAAATTCAACGTTAGACCTACCTGACGTATGCTGTGTAAAACTTTTCTAACGTTTTCTGTTGTTAAAGTGCGACATCTTCCCCTAAATTCTCCCATTTTAAAATCGTCTGGTATATGTCGTCTGATGTTCTTTGATTTTCTCAGAACAGACAAACGGCATCGGTCAACCAAATCACAGAACATTTTAAAAGTCAAAAAAGTATTTTATTTTAGACTTTCGATTTGAAAGTTAACTTTTTCAAAATTATATCTATATAAAAATCGTATTATCCTAATTTTTTATTAAAAAAATTGTCGTCAATTTTTGAGATCTATTGTTCTCTTTTTATCTGCAAACATTTAATTTTAATCTACTTATTTTTTACTAATGTATAAGCTAATTATTTAGATCAAAAGATCAAAGGCAATTAACGGGTTTTTTAAATCTATTTTAGTCAACATGAGACCAATATCCCGTGAAACCAACATACCATCTTTAGATGATTATTGATATATCAGAAGAATGTTGACTCTTATATTTTCAGCTATTTCATCTAAAGAAAGGCTACTACCACAGATAGTATTACAGAGACATCCTTAGTTAACATATCTAATTAACTTAACCTTTGACTTGCACCTTGTTTTATCATAAATCTTTACTTTGGGACCTAGGCCAGTGCTTTCATGAGACTATGTTCTCATCACCATCTAACACACATTTTTTTTAGCGTAGCCTATGAAAAATATATCCAGCTGATACCATTACCAGATTGAATATCAGACATCTAATTCGTCTACGATTATATCTTAATTAAATAGAAAAATAGAATAGAAAAATGATACGCATTCATTGTAATTTATAGTTGATGAAGGATTTTTAAATTCAACTAACGGTCGCAACTAAAACAAATTTTGTGATATAGCCTAACACATATGTAGGCCTAGCTGAAATCATATGTTATTTCAAAGTTTATTTTCTAGGTCTGAGTTTATGTTTTTTCAAATCAAATTTTTAGAAGACTTTATCGCTTGAAGTTTTTTTTTACCCTTTGGCGGAAGGCAAAGGTCCAACTGTGATAAAATAATCGAGACTAAGCCTTTACATGCTATGTACGTCTTGATAAAAACAGCTACACATAAGAGATAAAGCATTTGTATAGGAGTTTACTACATGATACACTACGATTTTGAGTTATTATTTTGAATTTATTATTCAGTATTGTAAATATGACGTCGGCAAGTAAAATACGCGTTGGTGTTGTCGGATATGGAAATATGGGACATTATTTAACAAAAGCTATAGAGGACAACGACAATCTTGAACTGGCCTTTGTTTGGAATAGATCTACGGAGGCCCTTGAAGGCAATGTAAAAAGTGATTGCATTTTAAAAGATTTGAACGATTTCGCCATTTTCAGTCCGGACTTGATAGTGGAAGTGGCTCATCCTTGTATAACTCGAGAATACGGAGCTAAATTTCTCCAATATGCCGATTACATGATTGGATCGCCCACGGCATTGGCGGATAAAGACTTGGAGGTCACCCTTAGAAAAGCTGCCCGAGTACATGGTCTTTATGTACCTAGTGGGGCATTTTGGGGTGGAGAGGATATTAAGAAAATGGCCGATAGGGGCACTCTTCAAGCTCTGAAAGTTACAATTTCAAAACACCCATACAGTTTCAAACTAGAGGGTGACCTCAAAGAAAAGAACTCACGAGTGACAGGTGATACTGCTGTTGAATTGTACTCCGGACCAGTAAGAGAGTTATGTCCCTTAGCTCCAAATAATGTGAATACAATGGCCGTTGCTGCCTTGGCTGCACATAATCTTGGATTTGATGGGGTGCAATGTCGGTTGGTGTCGGACCCAAAATTGACAGATTGGCACATAGTGGAAGTGGAAACTTGGGGACCTGGGGATATTTCAAAAGACAAAGCATTCCATTGTCATACTGTTCGCCGTAATCCTGCTCAGATAGGGAATGTAACTGGGTCGGCAACATACGTCTCTTTTCTCAGCAGTATGGTTAGAGCACATGGGAAAGGACCGGGTGTTCATCTGTGTTAATTTGATTAACTATATGTGAAATTCTGAAATCTTCCAATATATTGTAATAATTATGTATGTAAATTCAATTGTACCCAAGTAATAGGCTATATTGGTCCGACTCGACTCGTTTGAAATATTACATATTAAGGGTCAGTTTATCCTTGATTTTTGTGCCTAACTTATATTTACAACACATTTCAAAGTAAGGTTTATCACTCGGAAATATTTGCTGAACAATGATTTAAACTTTTATCCGCTATTTTGTATCAAGGATTAAAATACCGCATGTTCGGGTATAATAAATGGTTAAATATTCCACGGTTGTGACAATTCATAAATTTAAGAACAAAAACCACGAAGAATGGTCACACCCCTGGCATAACAAAGCAAACTATTCAATTCATTGGAGTCTATTCGATTCATCGGCATCGGTCTAGATTCGGCTGGTTCATGGTTGATCTTGCATCTGAGGTCTTTTTTTTCTCGTTGATGGCATGCACCGCTTGATGGAAGAGACCACCAATAATATTTTGAAAAAAAAGTTTTGATTCCTTACATCTAAGGCCATTACGGTTAGCAATCTCGTTTCTATTGAAGAGGATTCGGGTTAAAAAAAAAAAGTTAAATTTTCAAAATTAGGATTATTTGCATGCGTCTGAAGCTATTCTGATTACGCTCACGGAAAATGTAGTATGTCCAAGCTGACTTCGCTAACCTGTCTGGATCGTTTTATCTCATTATTCTTATGGATAGTCTAATCCATTTTTTTTATCATATTGCATAGTGAAAGTGAACAGTGTGTGGCCCCTGATCGCCCCCCCCCCCCCACACACACCCACATTATGCTTCCTTGAAACGGCACTGATCCCTTATCTTATCACAGTCCCTTGTTATCCCTTATCTATCTTATCATATTCTCCTTATCACAGATTGAGACAATTTGTAGGCTACATGATCTCCACAAAATATGGCCTAGTTTTTCTGTCTCTACACTGTCAAACTGTCTACCAGAAGCAGGAATAGAAGCAGATCTTTCGGTCTATATTTCTCCTAGTCTGCAATTCCCATCCTCAGAATCCTCCAAGATGGTGGATGAAGTCAGTGTTTCTCGGACTATGGTCTGACCACTAGCGAAAGATTTCAAGAAAGATAACTCTGTAGAACTGTATGACAAAGGGGGCGCTATTTGACCTGAGTGAATCAAAATGTAAACAAAGAAGGTTTTTTATTCCATTTATCTTGTAAGTCTCATCAGCAGAGGCGTCAAGAAAGATCCTGTGCTACTGTTTATTCGTTATTTTGGTAACTGTCAGAGTTCGAATTAAAGATTCTAAATTAAAAAGAAGTAAGACCCACCTGTGACCTATCTAGATCCAGATTCAGACACGTTAGATCTTTGACCAAGATTTATTATCGGTGAAGATATCCGAGTAGGCCTATCATACATCTTCTTGGAATAGCAAACCACAATCGATAAAGGTGTGTTAATTTTGAATTGCTAATATTAATGGATAGAAAAATTACTGTATCTATGGACATTGTGCAGAAACACACGAAAATATGTTCATATATTGGCTTTATTTAATGTCCTGAATCCAAGATAAATATCAACTGTCAAAATGATATCAGATTAAAAGGTAAAAAACAGAATAAAGTTGCAGCGCAAGAGGGGGCCTTCTGAAATATGTAGAGGACAACAGAACTCTTTGGGTTGAAATGACAAATGCTGAAACACTGTGGAAAAGCTAATATTATAGAGGTTTCAGATGTGTGGGTTAAAAACATACAATAATCATAGTTCAAAATTTCTTAGAAATGAAGTAGGAGTAGCCTACAATTTGAAGTACAAATTATTTTTCTAGCTGGGCAAATGCTCCCCTTGTATGCCTACCTCCATCTATTTCACATGTTTTTGGCCCTTAAAATATTTCATTAAATTTGCCTCAAAATCAAATAGTGTTTTTGGTGAAATAAGATCAATTTGGACCCAACACACAGTGATAAGCTACAGGTTTGATCACCTAACAGAATGAAAAGTTAGACTAAACTTTCATTTTGAGTTGAGATCTGTTTATTCATGAGAACACTTTAAATCAAGTGTGTTGTCAGGCATGAAGCATGCATGAATGACAATTGTTCAGAAGCGTAGTGGTTTTCAGCTTTATGTCAAGTAAGATCCATTGATGTACAGGCTCAGTTGGGACAAAGCTATAATTACAACCTTTGGGGATAATACTCTTAATCTACATGTGATAATTGGTCTTTGAGCCCAACACAGCTTGGATTTTCATTACAAAAGCTCTACCTTGAAAACTAGTCTTTATATTGCAATAAGCAGTGAAAAATATCAAGGTTGCACAGTACATGCTAAAATCATTATAAAACTTGACAGCTCCCAGTCTTACTGTGAATTGATTAAACATTCTGCACTTTAGATAATGACATCTGTGTTGAAGGAGCTCTGAATTTGAACTGTTTTTATAGGATTAATGAGGTTCAAGCAAGACAGATAAATAAATTAGCTGGATTCCTGTTATCAAAGAAAATTTATCAGAAAGTAATAAATTAAAGTTTGTTATGGTAAATCTGTGAAAATTAAACAAGTAAGTTATTTATTTTGTGAAAGTTTCTCTTTGAATCTTTCTTAAAGTATGATTTATAGAGTCCATTCATCCATCCAACCATTTATTTTTTCATTTGCTCATTCATTCATTCATTCCTTCATTTGCTCATTCATTCCTTCATTTGCTCATTCATTTATTCCTTCATTTACTCATTCATTAATTCATTTGCTCATTCATTCCTTCATTTGATCATTCTTTTGCGCATTCATTCATTTAAGAACACAGTAAGTATGTAATACCGTTAAATTATTCAAAATTTTCATGCTCAGGCCATTGGTAATTCTTATTTATCAATGGCCTTATGTAGAGTGGTAGTATAAATATAGTCTACTGATGTTAGCATGTAATTTACTCAGTTGCTCTAGCATATGAATTTATTGCGGTCAGTCATTACCAATCAGTCTTACATTTAAGTTGTCTCCCTTTACATATATCAAAGGTTTTGTAGCTGGTCAGTGTTTCAATTTCTAGTTGATTTTGCTTAAACTCTTTGAACTTATTTTAAATTAACCTATTATCCGATTACAAATTTGTCTAATTTCCCTTCAAAAAAGATTGGCCCTCAAGGTAGTATGAAAAAATATTTGGGCACATGTTTGTATAAACTTCTGCAAAACTGGTAATGTTTGCATACTAACTGCAATAACGAAATTCGTAATGATTTATAATTTGTAGAATAATTAGTATATAAAAATAGATAAATCTGGTACTACCTGAAAATTGCCTTTCTCTGTAAAATGAGGATCAAATTATAAAATAAGGAAAATTGGTGCAAAATAGTCTAGATTTAACCACCATGTTTCTTTTTATCAGTGAAGCAGGCTGAACCTGAACATGGAGGAAGTGTCTTTTTATTAGGATGAACAATCATCCAAGGTCAACCTGTTACCGTATAGGCTGTACATGTTTGAGATCTCTCAACAGTTAAAACATTAAACAATACATTTCTTTCCTCATGTAACACTAAAAAAAGAAAAAGATATCTCAACAATTTTCCCCATTGCACACTGATTAGTTTTGGCTATTAGTTAGTCAGAAACAAAAAAGGCTAAAGTTTTAAGCTATACATACAGAACGGGACCTCTGTTGAAATATTATGTTTCTACCTTGAAGACTGGAGAGTTGTTTGTCATAAGTTGAAAAATGTAAAAGAGAAGCATAGCTGATACTTTCCTTGCAAAATTTTCCTCATTGAATAACATTGGCCGTTAAAAAAAAAGGCTTATAAAAGTTTTATAAGCTATAAATACAGAACAGGGTTAATATTTAACAGGGACCTCTGCTGAGATATTATGTTTGTACCTTGAAGACTGGAGAGTTGTTTGTCATAAGTTGAAAAATGTAATGAGAAGCATAGCTGATACTTTCCTTGCAAAATTTTCCTCATTTCCTCATCTAATAACACTGGCCATTACAAAAAAGGCTTAAGTTTTGTAAGCTATACATACAGAACAGGGTTGGTATTTAACGGGGGACCTCTGTTGAGATATTATGTTTCTACCTTGAAGACTGGAGAGTTGTGAGTGTTATAGATTGATAATGATCATGTGAGTTTTGAGAACAATCAGACTACTGTATCTTATATTACTGTTTTAACCTTTGTAATATAGTTTCCAACTCTCTTTACCACATTTTGATAAGAAATATTCACTGATATACACAAACTGATAATTTATCTTTTATCATGACTGCAAAGGTAAGAAAATATTTGTTAATAATAATGGTTAGTTTTACCAATCTGTACACCTTTGGAAATTACATAACATTGTTTGAATGAATTTACATATAAGAATTTTGATTCAACTGCTGAAAATTGTTTAAGTTCACATGTTCAATGTTCAATTATAGAGGTATTGCATTTCAGTTTGCGATTCAAAATGACCCCTTTTGCAGCCCAATATTTCTTTTGATTGGCAAAAATTAGAATTTATCATGACAATCAAATCCAATTGTTTATGTGAAGATTTACTACTAAAACATTTTAAATTGCTACCAAATTTTAAATAATTGTGAATCAAAGTTTAACTTTATTAGCCTAAAAAACAATTTGGTGTTGTAAATTGCTAATCAACTTTTACGATCTAAACTGAACACTGATGTTCAATGTTCATAGCCAAGAAATGTGAGGTATTTTCAGCAAAGGATTAAGCTTATAGAGAGATTTTACATAATTTGTGTAGATAGTGTTAAATTGGCATTTAATAGTTTTTTTGAATGGGAAGTTAAACTGTTTGTCAGCTTCATTAAAACAGGTTTTGTGACTAAATCTATTTTCCCAGTGTTTAACATTATTTAAGTTTTTGTTGCTGTAGGGAAGTCAATTTGAGTTTTTCTATTAAGGTCACTAGAGTGAGTAATGAACATAATTTAGTTATAAATTTTTTAACGAAGATC